AGAGAGAGAGAGGAGCCATTTCGCGTTACAGCGTCTCCTTCTTCTCCGAGTTCGGCGACCGCATGAACGGCGACGCCTACCTCTCCTTTCTGAACGAAAAGTTGAAAGACAGTCTGGCCGCTTGGGGAAACGACCCAAACATGATTTTCATGCAGGACAACGTGCCCTGTCACAAGCAGAAGGACGTGATGAAATGGTTCAAAGACCAGAACCTCACCCTCTTGGAGTGGCCTGCGAACTCCCCCCGACCTCAACCCCATCGAGCATGCGTGGAACATGGTCAAGAACGCTGTGTACAAGCAGCGGGAGATCACAAACCAAGACATGCTCTGGGAGCGCTTCCAAGAGGTCTACCACAAGGTCCTCACCGTCGAGGTCTGCACCTCGCTCATTTCATCCATGCCGCGCCGCATCAAAGCAGTTTTGGATGCCCAAGGTGGTTATACCAAGTATTGAAATGGTTTGGTGGGGCTCATGCGTCCGTATGTTGTGTTGTGAAAGTTGAAAAAAGAACGCCAAAAGTCCCTTTTTGGGACGATCGTGTTTTGTCCCGTTTTGCATCCTTTCTCCTTCCCCCGTCGTACCAGTCATCACCCCTCCGCTCCTCTCACTCTAAACACATAGAAGGTACATATATATATGCAGTAGAGAGGGAAAAGGGAGAGTTGCGGTCGAAACGGTCGCAGGGCGGGGTGAGGAGTGGAAAAAAAACGCCATGCAAAAAACTTTTTTGGGGCGATCGTACTCGTACATGTGGACCGTCGAGTGGTACTCTCCAACCGCATAAAACAACAACAAACACCAATTCAAAAAGCGCCAAGTTGCTCAACGCAAACGGCACAAACCCCGTTTACACCATTGCACCAATTTCGCGAATGGTCGTTCCATCCTGAAGCGATGTCAGCACCTTGGCGAGCTGTGCAAAAGTCGGTCGGAAATCCGGTGTTGCGTTCCAGCAACTCATCATCATGTTGTAGAGCTCTGGCATGCAGGTGTCTGACATGGGCAGCCGACCACCAGCCTCCACATGGACCAGCGTTTCACGCCCGCTCACCTGCCCGTACGGCGTTTCTCCGTAACTGCAACATTCCCCTACAACCAAGCAGCGATGTCAGTGAGAAAACAGTTTGGCACACATCATTGCGACATAGCCCTCGACTTACAGGCCGTAACACCAAACGACCACACATCGGACATGGTCGAAAACTTGCGGAAAGTCATTGTTTCCGGCGCCATCCACTGCATGTTCAACGAATAGTCAGTATCCCAAATCACAAGCAGCAACATTTGCACACACACCTTTGACCCACCTTCACAGGAAGTTTGCCACGCGTTTGCATGCGATAGTAATCGTTCTCGGTCAGTTCGCGAGAAAGCCCGAAATCGGCAATCTTGACAACCATGCCTTGTCCCACAAGACAGTTGCGCGCGGCGAGGTCACGGTGAACAAAATGCAGCGTGCCCAGATACTCCATGCCGAGAGCAATCTGGCGAATGGCATGCACCTGCTCGTTGTGTGTCCACGAAAGCGACTTCTTTTTGGATTTTTGCAGCAGGGTGCGCAAGTCGCCGTATTGCACAAACTCTAGCAGAACGAGATGGGGCTCTGACTCGACCAGAGCCGCAAGTAGACGCACGACATTCGGATGCACGAATGGGGCCATCAATTTTGCCTCGCTTTCAAAGTCCTTGCGTGATTGTTCGTCCGCGTGGGATTTGAGACTCTTGACTGCGACTTGCACGACTTCAGACGAAGCTTTACGTCCAAGCAAGACTTGTGCTCGTGGGGACAGCACGCCGAAAGGCACTCGACCAAGCGCCACGTCGCCAAAGTTTCCGCTGGCAAGGTGCTTCACAATCGTCAAGCCTTCGCGAACGCGGCGAGAATTGCTGCCAGCAACATACGGACTTTCATTGTCGTAGAATTCTTCTGTTGTGTGCGACGAGAAGTCTTCGTACACAGGTTCCGGCTGATTTTGGCTGATTGAGGCGGTGGCTGGGACGTCGTCTTCTTTGTGAGATCGAGCCGAATGGTTTTGAGGAGAGATTGCCATTTCAACCGCCTCCTGATAAATGGGACCGGCCGAGTCCTTCGATGGCATGTCTGCACGCTGTGATCGACGACGGCGCAACATGACGAATACCAAAACAAGTATCACAATAACTGCCGCAGACGCACCAGCAGCTGCAGCGATGATAACAACTGGAGATGAGGTTTGGGCGCCGCCGCTGAACTGTGCAATGGAGGAAGCAACAGATGCAGCCGAAGCCGATGCAGTTGACGCAGCCGAAGCCGAGAGCGCCGAGGACGCGGAAATACGAGACGCAATCGAGGCATCAGATGCCGATGCGGTTGACGCGGCAGAAGCGGAAAGCGCCGAGGTTGCGGAAACAAGAGACGCAATCGAGGCCGCCGAGGCGGATTGCGTGGATGCGACTGAGGCGCTGGAGGCAGCCGATGCAATCGATGCGTTCGTCGCGGCTGATGCGAGGCAGTAGTCGCCCATCGCAACATAGCCTTCATAGCACAGGGTGCAGCTATTATTTGAGGTGCAGGTCAGGCAATTGATCCCACAGCACGACCCAGCACTATAGCAGGTGGCACAAGCTGTGCCGCACGCTACAGTGTACATGTCAGTCAATGGTTTTGACACGAGGATTGCAGTCACCGCTCACACTTACGTAACGGTTGGAATACACTTCCGTATGTGCTGGGCGGAGCGACAGTGTTGCCACCAAAGGTAAAGTTGTTGGAGCTCAGAAAGGGAGCTGAGGACGACAAAGCCAAGCCATTTGGTAGCCCCTTGAACAGACCGGGGGGCAAGGTCGTGAGGGGGTTGTCATTCAAAGCCCTACAAGTTCCGCAAAGTCAGAGGCGAATCGAATACGTGCATGATGAGAGTTTTGCTTACAATCGTTGTAACGTAGGCAGGTCTGTGAAAGCGTTTGCGGGAATGCTGTTGAGCTGGACGGAGTGCAGATATCTTCCAAAACGGTCGCAAATGAGTGAGCCATATATGTGCGTGAGTCTTCTTGTCGTAGCGTACTTACAGGGCAGTCAGCGCGGTCAGGCCTCTGAACGCGTTTGCAGAAATGCTGGTGATCCGGGTGTGACTCAATTCCCTGAAGACCGTGTTACACAAAAAAAAGATGAGTCTTGTGAGCGTAAGGATTTTCTCGACTTTTCTTGCTTACAATTGGGTCAGAGCGGTCAGGCCTGCGAATGCGTCTGCGGGAATGCTGGTGATCTGGTTCTCGAACAAAAATCTACAAATCGAGCCGCAAAATGAGTGAGCCGGCCAGGCTTGATTCTCATTGATGTCACTAGCTTACAATTGGGTCAGAGCGGTCAGGCCTGCGAATGCGTCTGCGGGAATGCTGGTGATCTGGTTCTCGAACAAATATCTACAAATCGAGCGGCAAATGAGTGAGCCGGCCATGCTTGATTCTCATGCTGTTACATGCTTACAATTGCGTCAGCGCACTCAGGCCTGTGAATGTGTTCGCAGAAAGGCTGGTGATCATGTTGTAGGATAAATCCCTGCAGGTAGTGTCACAAACGAGTGAGCCGGCCATGCTTGATTCTCATGCTGTTACATGCTTACAAACGCGTCAGCGCGCTCAGGCCTGTGAATGTGTTTGCAGAAAGGCTGGTGATCATGTTGTAGGATAAATCCCTGCAGGTAGTGTCACAAACGAGTGAGCCGGCCATGCTTGATTATCATGCTGTTACAAGCTTACAATTGCGTCAGCGCACTCAGGTCTGTGAATGCGTTTGCAGAAAGGCTGGTGATCTGGGCGCTGCTCAGATATCTACAGATATAATTCAGTACAGATCGAGCGAACTGCTTTCGGTTGTTTCTTGCTTACAAGAACTGCAGCGCAGTCAGGCCTGCGAATGCATTTGCGGGAATGTTGAGAATCTGGTTACTTTGCAGCGTTCTACAGATGAAGTCGAATGTGAGTGAGCTGGCAGCGCGTGATTCTGTGTGTGTGTTTGCCTACAAGAAGGTCAGCGCAGTGAGGCCTGTAAATGCGTTTGCGGAAATGACGGTGATAAGGCAGGCGAACAGACTTCTATAATACATATGCTGACAAGTGAGTCATTTTTGAGTGATTCTTCTTGGCTTTGCTTGCATACAAGTAATTCAGCGCAGAAAGGCCCGTGAATGCGTTTGCGGGAATGGCGGTGAACAGGTTGCCTCCCAGATTCCTACAAATAAGTCGCCGACGAATGAGAGGTTTGTGTGACTCTTCCTGTCTTTGCATGCGTACAAGGTATTCAGTGCAGTCAGGCCGGTAAAAGCGGAGGAGGGGATGGTGCGGATTATGTTGTTGGTCAGGCTCCTATAGATAGAGTCGCAAAACAGTGAGCCGTTTGTCCGTGCCTCCTCAAGTTCGTTTACTCGCTTACAATTGTGTCAGTGCAGTAAGGTCTGAGAATGCCGTTGCGTGAATGCTGGTGATTTGGTTCATGGAAAGATCCCTACAATTACAGTCGCAGCAACGAGTCAGCCGTTTGGGTGATTCTTCATGTCATTGCGTTGCTTACAGCTGTGCCAGCGCAGTCAGGCCTGTGAATGCGTTTGCAGAAAGGCTGGTGAGCTTGTTGTACGATAGATCCCTAAAGGCAATGTTGCACATGAGTGAATCGTTCACGCTGGAATCTCATGCGGTTGCTTTCTTACGTTTGTGTTACGCTGCTCAGACCTGTGAATGTGGTTGCAACAATGTTGGTGATATTGTTGTTTTGCAGAGTCCTGCAGACAGTGTCCCAAACAAGTGAGCAGTTCGTGGTCGAATTATCATGCCTTGTGTTTACTTACACTTGCGTCAGCGAAGTCAGGCCTGTGAATGCGTTTGTAGCAAGGCTGGTGATGTGGTTGAATTGCAGAGACCTATAGAGAGCGTTGCAAACCAAGCGAGCCGCTTGCGCAGTCTTCAGCATGACTATCGCGTGACTGAGGATGAGTTAGGAATATCTTTGCTTGCTTACAATGTCGTCAGCATGGTCAGGCCTGTGAACAACGAGCCAGGAATCTTGGTGATCCGGTTGTTGCTTAAATCTCTACAGATCGCGCCGTTAACGACTGAGCTGCTCTGTGTGATTCTGCATGCCTTCGTTTACTTACAAGTAGTTTAGCGCAGTCAGGCCTGTGAATGCTTGGGCAGAAATGCCGGTGAGCTGGTTGTAGGATAGTTCTCTGCATATAGAGTTCCAAACGAGTGAGCCATATGTTGTCTTTCGTGTCTCTGATTGCTTACAAGTACTGCAGCGCAGTCAGGCCTGCGAATGCATTTGCGGGAATGCTGATGAGCTGCATTTGGTTCAGTCTCCTTCAAACAGAGTCACACACGAGTGAGGCTGTTATCTGCAATTATTTCTATCTTTGCTGTCTTACAAAGTAATCAGAGCAGGAAGGCCTGTGAAGGCGTTTGCTGGAATGCTGAACCGGTTTCCGGTGAACGACCTATCGACCGTGTGCCAATCATGAGAGCAACGCTTCATGTCAAGGTCAACTCAGTTGCAACACATACAAGTAAGTTGTTGAGACTGGAATTCCGGTTGGAACAGCTGCAAGAGATTGGTAGCTGCAATCGACAGTAGTTCCTGTGCAACCGCACACCGCACAAGCATTGACTGCTTGTGCCAACTGGACGTGATTTATCCCGCAAAGCAACAGAAGCAGACCAAAGACAAATCTTTTACGAGTCATCTTTGTCCTATCGGAGATATGAGAGAGTGAGCTCGCAGCATGTCCACAATTGTCGTATGCAATGCAATGTCAGTTGTGTGACGGTCAATTCGAGCGCCAACACACGCTTGGTCCCCCCGAGTTCTTACGGACTTATGCCCTCTCCAAGAGCGCGGTTATGATCACTTCCAGTAATGTTGCTGTCAGAATGTGCCTTCACAAGAGTGTACAAAGAGACGACGCATCAGCCTCGACCTTGCGAGAAAGTGGCACCCCCTCTTTTTTTTTTTTTTCGTTTTCGATTGGTTTTATGGGGTTTCGCAACTGCACGTTGCCTTCTGCCCTCCCAAGTACGCCAGTTCTTGATCTTTAGCACTGTATTTTCAAGTGGTGTGTGTGTGTGTGCGCGCGCGCGTGTGTGTGTGTGTGTGAGTGTGGGCGGCCGGACGAGGCGATGCAGCAGCGGGATTGGAAGATCTTAATTTTTTTTTTTGCCATTTGGCGTTCATGACCAGTCGTTCGTTCCATCGCGTCTTCAGCTTGATATAATTCGTTTGCTTCAACAGAGCGCATGCAAGGCCCAGAGGGAGAGAAACAAGAGAGCGTACAGTGTGAAAAGCTTAAAACACAAAAGTACACTCAAAAAACGAAAAAAACGAAAAACCCCCCATCCAAGAAAAGACAAACGATACAAACCAAAAAAAGAGTGATCCCTATTTGGATCGACTGTATTCGCAATTTGTTCTTCATTTGGTCATCCTGGCGTTTGTAACAAAAACAAACAAACAAAAAAAAAAAAAAAAAAAAAAAAAACACATGACGGGGTTGTAACATTTGGTGTCTTGTCGCTTCGCTCAAAAACTGAAGCTCTTATTTTTGCAAAAATGAAAAATCCGATTATCAAAGTTGCTCTTAGAGGGGGGTCGCCTAACTTTGGTCGCATTACAGACCATTTTTTTGGCTCCTAACTTCGGTTATTTTATCGCGTCCCCCTGTCGACTGGGTTGGTCTTTTTGCGTCGCTTCTTTTTTAAATATAGTTCAAACTCTACGTTTGTTCTTATGGCAGAGTTGCGGGCCGCTGGGGCGGAGAGGAAGGTTTGGCTGGATGCTAAGCGCCTGAAATCACGAGGCGAAACATCGCAATGGGAGCAGCACTCAAGCGGCTTTTTCCAGGTCCTGTCTTCCTGCCGTCCGGAGGCACGTACACGCCATGCCAATGGACTGGTGATCGAGTGGCAAAGCAGTTGACGCTCTGTGGGTTCAGCTGGCTGCGGGCGCGCTACTGTGGGAGACTGGGGTCGGAATCACTCCCACAACGGCGATTGGATTCGCCAGAACTCGTTCGAGAAAGTTTGTGAGCTGGCGGCGACAGTCCACGCAACGGCAGAGCCCCGATTTTCTCAAACAGTGAACTCGAGTACATTGTGTGGATGCTCGAGTGGTGTGCTCGCGCCAATCAATGCACGTGCAAGAAAAGGGCTGGCGAAACGATTGTCGCGATGGCCCTCCACTCTCGAGTCTCCGGGGACCCGCACAGGCAGTTTGCGGGTAGTCTACCGTTACAGGCGTCTTCACAATCTGCGCAGATGGTTCGACACCCACACCTCCCACTCTTATCTTTTCGACGAACGCACAGAAGAACTCGGCCACTCAAAGTCTGCCTCCAAATGTCGCCAATTACCGGGTTTCGGCTAGCAGCTACATTACCCAAGAGCTGTAACCATCGACAAACGACGAGAGGAGCTTCGAGCTCAGGATGCAACGCATGATGCGCAGGCAGAACTGGCCAAACTGGACGACGATCGTATCGCCAAGGACACGGAGCTTCAGTCACTTGCAAAACCGAAGCGTAGACGGCTGCCGAGGCAACCACGACCCGTCTCTCCATCAATTACAGCAGCTACGAAGCCATCAACCGCGCGCAGAGCGCGGCGGGCTGCGGCGGAAGACGACAGCTCATCGGACTCGGACTCCCAGCAAGCGTCGAACATTGGGCACGAGGCGGACGAGAGTGGTTATGACTCTGACGACAATGAGCGAGTGTTACAAGTCACACGCACTGACTCCCAGAGTGACGGGGAGGTTCACTTTGCGCTGAAGGCGCTGGAGACGCGAGAAATCGCGGATAACATCCGCCCTCGCCCTTTCCGCGCAGCCCGCCGGCTTGGAATTGACGCCTTGGGCGACATTAACAACCCTGTGAACAAAAGGGTACGCCTCGACACCGAAGCCCACGCTGTGGAGCCGCCGCCGATGACCGTCAACTTGACCGAGCTGCTAAGGCACCAGATGTTTGTTCCTGCCTCTTCTTGCCCTAATCCTTGTTAATTCAATACAATAGCATACTAGAAACACATTCAACATGAAAGAAGACGGCTGGAGTAATTTCCCTCGAAGTTGTCTCGGCCTCTCAGTCTTCATGTGTTGAATCTCGCGTGCGTTTCGGGTACCCCCTCTCCCCACTCCTGGGGCTCTGCGCCCTGTGATTGAGAGATGACCCTGTGCTTGTGCTTCGACTAAGAGAATGACGATGGAGAACGGGATTGGTGGGCGCGTGAACGAGAAGCGTTGCGAGCAAACTGACTGAGAGCAAACGTTGTAATGCAGGCAGTTATGGATGATATGAACGAGCTCCAGCGCGAGCTGTATGATATAGTCAAGAATGCGACTGAAGAGCTCGAGTAAGAGAAACCCCCGACGTTATTGGAACAATGTGAGTGTGCGCATGCTGACGAATCGGAACCAGTCTGAGTGAGGAACGGATTGACGTTGCTGCAGCTCAAGCGATAGCTGAAGCACTCAAGGTGAACACGACGCTGACTTGGCTCAAGTATGTCACTTCACTTTGTACTGATGCATTTGGAGTCAGTGGGTGGCGTCAACAGCGGGTAGGCATGGTACTCACTGAAGGAAGGGATACGAACAGGTTGGAAAAAAATCAGATTGGAGATCTTGGAGTGCAAGCCATTGCTGAGGCGCTCAAGGTGAACACGACGCTGACTTATCTCGAGTAAGGAAACTGGCTTTGATTGGTGCGTGTTAGTGAGTGATTGCAGCAACAAGTATTCAGAGTGCTCACCGACGGAGGGGATGCGGGCAGTCTGGATAGCAATCAGATCGGCGATGCCGGAGCGAAGGTGCTTGCTGAGGCACTCAAGGGGCACACGACGCTGACTGGCCTCGGGTAAGGCATCTCACATTGAGTCTTGCATGCGAGTGGGTGATTTCAGTAGAGTGCAGCAAGGGCGCTCACTGGTGGAGGGAATGGACAGCTTGAACACCAGTCAGATCGGCGAAGTTGGAGCTCAGGCCATTTGTGAGGCACTCAAGGTGAACTCGACGCTGACTATGCTCGAGTAAGGCATCTCAAATTTACTGATGCATTTGCGTTGGTGATTTCAACATAGCTTAGAATGCTCACCCATGGAGGGGATGTGGACAGTCTGGACGCCAATCAAATCGGCGATGCTGGAGCGCAGGCGATTGCTCAGGCACTCAAAGTGAATACGACGCTGACTTGGCTCAAGTTAGTCTCCCACTTTGACTGGTGTATGTGAGTGGGTGAATACAGCAGAGAGCATTTAGAGTGCTCACCGATGGAGGGGATGTGGGCAGTCTGGACGGCAATCAGATTGGCGACGCTGGAGCGCAGGCGATTGCTCAGGCACTCAAGGTGAACTCAACATTGAAGAAGCTCTTGTAAGTTGCTGTGATTTCGGAGCGTATTCTGAACACCGACTGATTGCGGGGATGGACAGTCTGGACGCCAATCAGATTGGCGATGCTGGAGCGCAGGCCATTGGCGAGGCACTCAAAGTGAACAAAAGGCTGATCGACCTCAGGTAAGGCACCTCGCTTTCATTGATGCTTGTTAGTGAGCAATTCAGCAGATAGCATTCAGAGTGCTCACCGATGATGGAAGGGATGTGGACAGGCTGAGTGAGAATCACATTGGCGACGCTGGAGCGAACACGATTGCTGCAGCACTCAAAGTTAACACGACGTTGACTTGGCTCAAGTAAGTCTCCCACTTTGACTGGTGTATGTGAGTGGGTGAATACAGCAGAGAGCATTCAGAGTGCTCACCGATGGAGGCGATGGACAGTCTGAGTGAGAATCAGATTGGCAATGTTGGAGCGGAGGCGATTGCCGAGGCACTCAAAGTGAACACGACGCTGGCTGTGCTAGGGTAAGGCACCTCACGTCGAGTCTTGCATGTGAGTGGGTGATTTCAGCAGAGTGCAGCAAGGGCGCTCACTGGTGAATCGAGTGGACAGTTTGCACACAAATGAGATTGGCGATGACGGAGCTTGCGAGCTTGCTGATGCACTCGAAGTGAACACGACGATGACTAAGCTCCAGTAAGCCGCTGTGCGCTTTGCTGGTATCGAAAACTGAGCCAGTCAGGTATACTTGCTATGTTGTCCATCCCCACTCATGCATTGCGACAGTCTAGACCGTAATTGCATGGACTACGGACGTTCCGCGCTTCTAGATGTACGCGAAGACAACTGCAGGCTGGAGCTTACGTAGGTGCTGTTTTGTGAACTTGAACATGAGAGCCTCTTCCCACGCAAGTGTTCCTCGAACCAATGGATGGCCGTGCTGACTGCCCACTAATTGTAATTGTTCGCTGCACAGCTTCGACGACCAGATAGGCTGTCTTGCATTCATCTGGTTGCCACGAAAGGCAACTGCTGAAGACGTCCAGAGCGTGTTTCTACTGCTGACCAGCGGACTGCAGCTGGAGGATCAATCCGCATGTCTACCGGCACTTCCAGCTGAGACTCACCACAAAAACTGCAAGTTGTTTCAAATAATTCTTTCTTAATTCCAACAATTTGCCAGAATGATTGATCATACACTACGAGTATTATCGAGTTGGAGCGGAGGCAAAATGACGAGAGAAGCGCTCAAAATTTAGCTTTGACAAGAATTGAATTTTCAAAATTGTTGGATTGAACGAAAACTAAAATACAGTACTATCGAGAGGCACACAATACAAATCAATGATCAGATGGCTTGATCATGGATAGATGACGAGGAAGAAGGGGACGACAAGATCCGCTTGGGTCGCTTGCGAAATTGTTGACCGTTCTCTTGCTTTGAACGCTGCGAGTCGATTGTTTCACAATCATCAAGGTCGGAAGAGCCAGCCGAGCCGTCCTCATTGTCAGAGTAGATCTCACGAATGTGGCGACGTGTACGGGGAACAGCGCGCGGAGTCGAATCAAACGTAATCGGAATGTCGAGTTCATCTTCAAGCGCTTGGTCTGCTTCCGCTTGTTGCAACGCATCCCGTTCTTCTTGGGTCACAAGCGAAAAAGCAAAGCTGGCGGGTCGCCTTCGTCCAGTCTGCGGTGAAGCTATCGGATCGGGTGGCGTTTTTGTGGTTTTGCGAGTTTGCCTGTCAGCGCTGACCTTCTTCACAGCAACCTGCTGGTCATCTTCAGCATCGCTGCTGTCGTCAGGCACGACGAAATCGGCCAAGTCTTCATCGTCATCATCGTTGTCGTCCTCATCGTTTGCACCGACGCCGTCCTCGTCGGACTGCTCAGACGCCTCATCGTCAACGAATGCATTCTTTGGCTTAGGTCGCCGCCCTTTTGTGGTCGTGGCACGCCGCTTCGAGACTCCCGCATTCACCGCAGCACTCCCAGTAGCAGACCGCCATCGTTCCAAGACTGCGCCCGCTGTTTTCCAAGCACCTTCCGCCGAGTCGTCCACGAGATTGCTGGCTTCTTCAGAGGTATGACCTCTCGTTGACTGAGGGTGTGTCTCGGGTGGAGGAGGAACTGGTGACGCGCCAAAGTCCTCCTCATGCACAGCCAACTGATGTTCAAACGCGGCGATTTCATCGGCATCAAGAGCTTGATCCATTTCTTCAAAGTCGTAATCGTCCGCAGCATCACCTCGAGCAGGCACAGATGCAAGTGTCGATGCTGTAGCCGATGCCGACACCGCAGCCCCGGCGCCATCTCCCGGCGACCACTCGTTGGCCATGATGGTGTGATCTTCCACACCCGAATCATTCAGCATGTTGACGAATGTGAGCGATTCCATATAGCCACTTGGACGAGCTACGCACGTTCAGAATGTGTGAGTCAAGGAACTGCGTCGCAGACATTCATTTTGACACAGTGCTGGCAGAAGGGGGTTACCTCGGCAAAAGCGCAGAATTTCTCCCCAGAGCGGGTTTCTGGACAGCATGGCGCTGCCGCCGACGATGAACAAGTGCCTGAAACATATCAACAAGTGCGCACCAATGAGTTCAGTCCAAAGAATGAAACGGTTACGATTGTTACGACCATTTTTTTTTTTGGGGGGGGGGTTGGGAAGCTTACTGCTTCGCACGAGACAATGCCACGTTCGTCCGTCGTTCGGAATCAACAAAGCCAATCTGACGAGTACGTGTGCAACTTAATAGAATAATGTTGCGCTCACCGCCTTGAAACGAGTCCGCTGTCGCGACAAGAATAGACTTGAGACTTGAGCCATGGACGTCACGAATGGGAAGGCGATCAAGCGCCTGCTTGATGTGAATCGCCTGCGACTTGTACGGAGTGATGATACCAATACTATCAACAGAGATTCCACAAGGTTTCGCGGGACGAGAGGAAACTCGTTGATCAACGTTGTGGTCGCCATCGACATCATCGAGATCGTGCTTGGCTGCTGCACTTGCACCAGAGGCATCATCGGGAGTGGCGCGCTCGCCAGGAAGAACACCGTTGGGAAACACACCGGCAAGAAGCGAGCGCAAGATGCCAACAATGCTCGCGACCTCAGCATCGTTGTGGTAGCTTCCATCGCCATCTTGAACTTCCTGACCCGCCACGTTCACAAAACAGAGGGTAGGTACTCGGGGGTGGATGGGTGGGCGAGCTGCATTCGCGACGCCGTCCAAGAGCCGGTTGTCATAAAACAGCTTGTTGGGAATGGCACTGATGTCTGGGTGGCATCGATACTGGGTGCGGAGCATCACGAGAGGCTTGTGCTGCAGGGCCAAACGCTCAAACAAGGTTTGCTCGAGGCCAAACGGGTGGGCGGCCTCGGGTCCCTCCAACGTTGGCTGCAGCTGCTTGGGGTCACCCACAAGAATGAGGCGCTTGCAGCCAAACCGGCTGATCGGCACCAGAGACGACGCCTCCGTCATTTGCGAGCACTCGTCAAGGACAATGAACGGAAACGACATGCCATCCAAGCACGGAAACGTCGCGGCAGCACAGGTCACGCCCACGACGCGCGACTTGACGAGCTTGGTCGGGCGCGTGCCTGATTTGATGTCGGCAATGGTGGTGCGCACGGCCTGGATTTCGTCTGGCGAGAGAGCTTCGGTGCGAAGCATGTGCTCGAGATCGGTCAAATCTTGCTCGTCACTCCGCTTGCTCATGTTGGCGCTGTAGGGCAAGACAGTCTTTGCAATCTTTTTGACGCTGCCAACGCGCACAAAGTCAGAGTATCCGAGGCCCAGCAGCCCGTGCATGATGCGATCCACCGCGACGTTCGTCGTGGATGAAATCAGTACCTTCCACTGCCGTGAGCCTGGCGCAACTGGACCTTGCAGCATTTCAAAGAGGCTGGCCAAGAAGACCACCAACACGGAAAGAATAAAGCTCTTGCCGGCGCCAAACACGCCGTGCACGAGCAGCACCGGGCTGTGGCTACCGCCTTCCAGCGTGACAGAAGGTGCCTGTGACCAGTCGAGCGTATCAGGCTCATCAAGATCTGCCAAATCCGCCGGGGACGTGTCCGGGTGAAGGAACATTCTTGCGCAGGCGCGCAGCACTGTTCGTTGGTCTGGATTGAGGGGGTACTTTGTCTCAAAGTCGCGCAAAAGCAAACTCAGCATGGCCGGATCGGCATACAGCATGCCGATCGAAAACAGATAGCGGGACTCGTCGCTCTTGCTCGCCATCCGGCGTTGATCGGTGCCAAAGTCTGACGACGCGTCGCCGCGTCCCGGTCCCGGCCGACGCAGAGCATTCCGCCCCACTCCCACCTCATCGAGCAAAGGAGGTTCTGACAGCAGGTAGGGGAGGACTGGAATGCTCTCATAGGTCACTTGGCAACTCAGGGCGGTGAGTTCAGAGCTGAACGAGCCCAGGTGAATGCAATGCACGTTGGCACCGCCAAGATCAACCGCGTCCTGCCGCAGAGACTGGCCAGAGCCGTGTATGATTTCCAGCTCAATCACCAAGTTGGATGCTGGCCCGAAAAAGGTTGATTTCGCAAGCACCGTCACGCTGGGCTCAAAGTCGAGCCGGCTGGTGACAAGCCAGAGATCGTCGCGCCCGTAGGTCGTTCGCGACTTGTGAGACAACTCGACAAACAAGGTGGCAGAATTGGTGACTGCAATCCCACGCGAGCGCGATGCCGAGGAAAACGAACTTTCGTCCGGATTGACTGTGTATTCGCGCCACGCACTCTCGCGAGCGCGCCCACGACCTCGCCAGCCACCCCGACCACCGCCGCGACCCTTGCCTCGCCAGCTAGCTCCAGCGGAAGAGCCACTGCCTGCACCATCGCGGGAGTCGGTCAGACTGCAGTTGTAGTACAACGCAACTTCGCGAGCCTTGTGGTACTCTTCAAGCATTCGCGGCGTGCCAATGGTGACCGTGCCGCCAGTCCCATCCTGCTCTAGTGCAGAAGCAATGAGGGTGTTTGGCTTGGCCACAGAGGAGGCCCAGGCGAAAAACTGACAGTCGCCGCACTTGTGGAAAAACCGTCCCTTGTTGGCGCCTTCCTTTTTGCACATGAGCAACACTGCAGGTTTCCCGCACCGACACTTGACAGCATTAGCGTCCTGTGAGCGGCTGCCGTGCGCTCCCGGCGCGGCTGGGCGGCTTGCCAGAAAGCTAAGAGTTGCTTGCTTCATGCCCAAGTGGAAAAGACGGAGTTTTTCACGCACCTGGAGGTTGATGGTTTCATTGAGCGCCGAGAACATGGTTTGGCGATAGCTGCGCAACGTCGGAAAGTCTGCATTTATGCGAGCACTTCGTTTGGGCGTCTCCTCGGCGATGCACTCGTCCGCAGCTGCAATGGCAAGTGGGATTGGATGCTGTTCAGGCAGATTGGCGAGGAAACCTGGGTCTGCATCAGTACCAGCGGCACGACTCACGATGGCAATCGGGGAAGCGCTGTGTGGCGCTTGAGAGGGCGAGAATGGCGCTTGAGAAGGGCTGGAACCGAGTGGCGAGGCGCTGGAACTGGGGCCGTGTTCCGAAGCAAGCGGCGGACGCGGTGCAGGTCGCCCTGAAGAAGGGACTTGATACTGGCGGAATGACACCGCTGAAGAAGAAGCAGGGGCAGGTGGCGGGCGTTGCAACGGTCGCGGTTGACCGGCAAAAGGCTGAGTCGCCGCTGGAGCGACCGTCAAGGCAGCAGGTTCACTACCATCGATTGCACTCAACAGGTCGCCTATATCATCGAGATCGTCCAGGTCGTCAAAGTCTGAGGGATTGGGATTTGCAGGCTTCACGGCATGGTGAGCCACGGGCTCTGCTACCCGAGGCTGCATGCATTCACCAGTAGGCCTTGGAGGAAGCCGTGCCAGCGCTGCTGCCGTTGGCCGTGCGACGGGCAGCGCAGTCGAGAACGCAGAAGTTGAAGCAAAGGTAGAAGCAGAGGGTGGTGGCGAAGGAGCATACAAAGATGTGACTGGCGCCGGCAAACTTCGTTGATGGAACAGCGGTGCGGGCTCAGCTCGAGCAATCGACGACACCACAGCTGGAGCAGCGCTGGGAGTTCCGCTGGGGGTTTCGCTGGAGGCTCCGCCTCCGAGAAATGCCAAGAGTTCGTGCGTGGATCTGCCGCTCGAGGAATGACCGCTCTGTTGCGATGGCAGAGCGGATGGTGCAGGAACGAGCATTGACCGAGCTCCAACGCCATAGGGTACGGGATATGACGACACTCGCGGGGTTGCTTGTGCAGCAGCAGCAGCTATTGTTGTTGGTACAGACGCAGAAGCGGCAGGCGGCTTCCAGTGGCTGGGCTGCGAACGCGACAGCCCAAATGGGCGTGGTGGTGGCGGCGGTGCAGCTGGCCGCGCGTGCTCGCTGACTGGCGGTGTGGCAGACAGCTGAGAGGACGAAATCGACGACACGAATGACAGGCCCGAGGAGACAAACGAGCTGGGTGCGTCTTCCTGGCTTGCAAATGGGCTGCGGGAATCTGGGATTGGGGCATCCACAGTCCGTCCCTCTGTCGATGCGAGCTCTTCAACTTGGACCAGGTAGTGCTCGAGTGTGAGTTCGGCACCGGGCTCGATGGTTGGGTCGCCCGGCTTGAGCCAGCACGACTCGACCGTCTTGCTCTCCAGGTCTGTCAGCACGACGCGACCCGACGGCGACGACAAAGCGCCGCCGCCGCCGCCATTATTGGGCAATACAGGCGCCTTCAAGAAGCCGTCGATCCATCGCTTGCTCTTCTTGGTCGTGTTGGCCGCGTACAAGACGCGCCAGAGCTGCGATGATGACTCTGCACCGCCGCGCTGGTAGTACGCCATGCGACGCCGTCGTGCCTCGTCGTCCTTGTACAAGCGCGAGGTTTTGCTTGCTCTGTGTGGTGCTGGGGAATGCCCTCTCTCTCACACAAGCAGTGCACAGAACACGAAGCAAGAAACAAGTGACAAAGAACAACAGCCAAAACAAAAAGACTGAAACTCAAAGTGAAACGAATTTTTTGGCGCCAAAAACACAAGAAAGCAAACTTGCACGAAAGTAAAGCTTTGAAATGGCGATTGCGATGATTGAGAAGCAAATGTCGCGCTCGTTTCTCTGTGCTACACTCAACGCACCTCAAGTGCACACGCTCACGCTCGCAAGCACGCGGCCGAAGCGTCGTTGTTCCCGATGATGTGAAATCAGCGAAATGTTTCAATGTTTCGATTTCTGCAATTTCCGCTTCAGTCAACCATGTACAGTACCCACATCCCTTATCTACATCCCCATTCCCAGTCATCTACATCTCACTCATTTATCTTCCCACTGCAGTCATGGCCTCGGAGCGTCGAACCGCGGACGCATCTGCCGCAACCGATCTCGGGCTGCTGCCGTCCTTCGACACCGCCGCCGATGTGGCTGCCAGCAAGCGCATTCGACTTGCCATCGAGCCAGCACTCGAGCGAACTGTGCGCACCGTGGACGCGGCCGGCGTCGAGACCTACGACGAGTTGAGTACTTGGTTGTATCGAAGGCCTTCTTCCCCCCTCTTTCCACTGGGACTGCCATCCTCACAGACCGAGTTTCCCCCCCCCCCCCACCAACTCACTGCAATACGACGGTCTCGTGACGATTGAGCCCCTTGAACGTGGGGCTCTTGTGCGCCGCGCCGCGGTGACTGTTGAGATCTCACTCTTTGATTTGACTGCTGCTCTGCTGTTTGTTGCTGATCGCAGTCTGCAAACGCCAACGTCCAAGCTGCTGCAAGTGGTCCAATATGTCGACTTTGCGATGGCTCCGATGGACGAGTCAGAAGAAGGCGAGGCCGCTCAGGAGCCAACCGGAGCGCACTCTACTGGCGCAGCCGCTGAGACCACTGAGCCCGCAGCTCCGCCAGAATGGCATTGGAAGGACGTTCAAGATCACATCTTGTGAGGAATTGCATGTGTTTCAAGTATTCCGGGAGAGGATGGCAGCTTGCAGGTGTGTACTCACTTTTCGGATTCGCTTGAAACAGCTACGCACAATCCGAGTCCGAAGTCCTCCTCGATCTTTTCGCGCTGACACGCAACAAAAAGTATCTTGCAATCAACCACACAACTGCTGTCGAGGCTCCAGTGCCGGATCTAGCTTTCCGTGTTGTGGCTAAGCGACAGGTGCGTAATCCACTTCTGAAACATGCTGCCCTCCCTTTTCTTGCAGCATATGGATCTGACAGCCTTGCGCGGCGCTGCTTCCCCTCTGCCATGTAGCTTTTGGCCAATGCTGCAGAAGCGTTGGCGAGCGCAGCTGCCAGACTTGAAAATGCGCTTGAAACCGAGCAGTCCTTCTATTCTCAATTGACCAGTCTACAGCAAGATTGGCGCATTGTTCAGCGTGGCCAAACGCTTGGCTTTGATGTCGGGCTTCGCTCGGGTAACATTTCCTTTCGTTGTACCACCCTTTTGCGAATCGTTCTTTTGATTCGAGATTGCTTGATGGGTTCGGCTCACTTTTGCTCACGATTGCTCTTTTGTAGCGGGCTCTCGACACCCCGGGTCTGGATTGTATTCCATCCGGCGCGGGGACACGGCTGCTTCTGTCGTCATCGAATCACCACCAGATTTGCAAACGGCCACTCGATTGCGGTTTTCAGTCTCTGGCCCTGGCTTGTCGGCTACCAGCACAATCCGTACGTTTCTTGGCCCGCCCCCCTCCTCCTGTTTGGGTTTGCGTAAAGTTCGAAATTGGATGGGAGCCTTACTGACGTGTCCACGCCCCCCTCATTCCTTGGTTCAGTTCATCCGCCATTCCAAGGGCAAGAGCTGTCTCAAATTAGTTCCACTCTGGAGGCTGCACAGCATTCCAACTTTTTGCGCGAGATCTTTTCAGCGGTACAGCACTGAATGATTCTGTTGCAACATGAGCCAGTGTTTTGTTTTGCTGAAGATTCTGACACATTGCGTTGTTGGTTTTGGGATCATTTTGTGTTGACAGTTGACCAGTGACGCATTGGAAGACGTTTCGAATAACGCTAATGTCGTGGGTCACTCAATCACTGCGACTGTGGATTCGTCAACCCGAGTGCAGTTCGACCTAGTGAGCAGTACAGACTCTTCCGAGAGCAGCTCGTCGCCCAACCCTGTGGAATCGGTATGCCTGCGCGTCTTGCCCTCATTTGCACTAGGATGATTCAGGCGGTTGTTGGTCAGTAGCTGCATTGCTGACGGGGTTGTTCAACCACCCCAGATGCTGTGCTCGTCCATCGAAACATTCTTGGCGCAACAAGTGCGAAAAATGCACCTACACGCGAGCAACACGTTGCATTTCCCTTCCGTCTATGCATCGTCGCGACCAGCTCCTCAGATTCAACATGCCAAGTAATTCATCACTGAGTGTCTTGCATGGCTGTTGACTCTGCTATTTATTCCCTGCGCTCATTTTCATCGCCTCTCAATCAGAATTCCTGTGCTTGCACCAGTTCTCGCCATGACACGTCACTGGATTGTGCGGCAGCAAGTTGCGCAAGCGTTGGACAATTTGTCCTCGCGAGTGTCCTCCATTCACGTGGCCACGAGCTGGATGAGCTCGTCTTCGCTGGACTCGTCCACTGCGGTTTTGACTCTGGGGACTGAATTGCTCCATCCAGGGTGAGTAGCTGCGTTGGCGGTTGACCGCCAGTTTGTTGTTTTTTTCGCTTGCTCACGCTGTGTGTGATGCTGATCTTGGCTTGCTTGTCCGGGCGTGTCTCGTTGCGTTCATCGGACAGAATCATCACAATTCACATTCAAGGCACTCAGATTCGATGCCACAATTCGGCCGTGCCATCCACTGAACTGCTGGGGTTGGGCGAATTTGGCGTCTATGTCGTCTTCCAAGTATGCGCCGCGATGGCCAGCGGCTTGGTAGCCGAAGCGCGTTCGTTACTTCGCCGCATCCCAAGCGATCGAGTTGATCTGGGACTTGACAACATTTCTGAATGGCAATGCATCACCGAGTTCCCACGTCGCATTCTGCACGGGCCTGTTCAGCTTTCCTTCCGTCACACTGTTTTGAATCGGTACGTTTGGAGGACTTACGCTATTGGAATGCTGTTTTTTTGATCCTCGCATGGTCCATTCTAACAACTTGTGTGGGTACGGTTGCATCTGGCAGACTACTCGTGATCAGTTTTGACGTAATTCAACCAGTCTCTGCACCCAAGATTGTCCTCCACATTGAGCAAAGTGACGGGACAGTTCTCGACTTGCTGTCGGTGCCGCAGCCTTCTCGGCGCTCGAGCACAGCCAGTTCACCGTACTGGGTGCACTGGTCTTCACTTCCTGGCCAAACGTTCCACGAGCGGTGCCGCTTCTTGTTCTCACAAGCTGCAGCGATTTAATTATTATTTGCTCTTGATAAAGCGGCAATACACAAACCTTATTCAAGTAGTCGGTAGTTGTTCTTTTGGTGTTTAGTCCACTTTTTTTTAGGTGTTCAGATACAAGATCGTGAACCTCTCACAAAACAAAACCCAACAAAAAACAACCAACAACTCGCTCGTTTTTCCAACTGGATCGCTGACTGTACGAACAATTGCAGACGTATTCTGCCGCTCTTAGCTGCCAAGCGAACAGTTCGAGCACCCAATCACATTTTCCCGCCATTCTTTGCTTCTCGCCTCGGCTGCTGCGCCCTCTGCCGAGGACTCTGATGACCCTTGCTTCGGGCAACGACATGAACGACATGTCACAGACGCATGCAGATCACGCCGATATCGCACCCATGGATGATGATGGGTCACCAAGCTTGTCGCAGTGGGAGCACGAAGACGAAGAAGCGGTCGAGAATTCCCGCCAAAATCACCATGCGTCCGCGCCGTTCGCAGCGGCGGCCGCGACAGCCTCTGCGTACCTTGGCAACCAAACCCACACCTGGAGTGGATTGGTATCCGACGGATCCCGTGCAAGGTCGGACCCGGCGATCGCGACGGCGGCTTCTGTCCATCCGTACGCAGCAGCTGCGGATTTTGGTGACATGTCCCTCTCGCCCTTGCTGCCATCGTCGCCATTGATTCCATCCTCGATAGGAAATTTGGAAATGTATGCATCGATGGATGCGCTCGAACCGATGATGTCCGGCTCAGCGCTAATTCTTGCCGATCCGTCGAACGATGCCGACATGCAGTTCAATGACCACGAGCATCTGCTGTTTGCGCAAAGTCCCAGCAGAAATGCGCAGGATTCTCATCTGCAAGAAGCCACCGAGAGCTCAGTAGCATTCAGGCAAGCTCTGTCGTTCTCTCCAAGTACGATTCTGGACACTTCAGCCGCATTGGCGGCCGCAAACCACGTCCAATCCTCGACTTCTCGCGCAGTTGCAACAAGTGCAAACACTCAGATTCCCAAAGGTACAAGGTTGATTTGCGGGGCTGAAGGGTAATTTCACTGACTCACTCACGTCATGATCTCCCTGTTGATCGTACACAATGCGACTCTTAGGTCCTCGAGCACGAAAAGTTTGCTACGTCGACGAGCTTGTACGTCATCATGCTCACTATCCAACGTGATGGTGTGTGTATGTGTGTGCGCGTGTGTGTGCATCGTTGACTCATGGCTCATTTGGAATGGTTTGGAACAGGGCTCCATCTACCATCAAAAGTACACAAAGTACTTTCCAAAGCAAATCGCCGAGCTTCAGCGACAATTCCCTGCTCAAGCGCTTCCCCATGTCGAGCCCACCATCAAGGAGGTATCAATGGCGTCGCCATTGATTTTACAACACACGTTTGCGCAATCAGGTACGACGCCTTTTCGAACGCCATTGCGTTAACTCTGGGGGCAAATTGTCTCCCGCTCATTGTACAGCTTTGTCCCGGCAGATTCAGGATGCATATACTCGTCTTCCCTCTCGCTTGATGGTCAACTTCTTGCTACAGCATCGACGCTCGGCTCCATTTGTCTTTGGGATGCCAACACTTTGGAACAAGTGGGAGAAATCCGCGAACGTGCGGTATGTTTGTTTTGTGTTTCTGCGCTCGCACGATCTCCAATCGATCAGTCTAAACTGACTCGGTTCTTGCCATTTTCCCTTCTGAAAAGGACACTTTTATTATGGACTACTACGCTGTGCATATACTTCCGAATCCGCGATTTGTCGCGGCTGGCGGCAAATGCAAGGATCGACGACGCTGGTCGGCGAACGACAACGACAACCACATTCTGCCATGCGCTGTTCGCGTCTTTGACACTGTGACGTGCGAGGTGGTGGCGATGCTGGCTGGCCATGTAGAGGAGGTCTTGTCGGTCACGAGCGTGACTTTCAAAGGGGCAAATTTTATCGTGAGTACAAGCGAAGATGGTCACATTTGGCGTTATCCAATGGCCGACGACTGGAGGTAAGGTGATCAGCATTGTACGCTGCGACCTACACGCTCGAGCGGCGCACTGACACTGTTCTTAATGCGCTTCAGTGCTCTTGTTGGCACTCCTTGGAGGATGCGCGACGACTTTACTTGCATGGCGTTCGGAGTCGTCTTCATTCCGAATACGGCCAACAAGTTCATGCTGGCAGCATGCGACGATACTGTTCGATTATACGATTTCGAGGACGGGACGGTAAGCTAAATTGGAAATTGGCGTCTGAGCTGAACTGCGGTTTCCCCCCTCCCCCTTTCCCTCTAGGATTCAAAACTCACGTGTTTGGTGCGCTCCAGCTTCTTCAAAGTTTCGGGAGTCTGTACTCCTCGTACTGCGACTGTATTATTAATGCTCCGTGCGAAGATATTCTGCAAGCGGCACACAACGAGTTCTTTTTTATTACACGCGGATGCGAGGTCTTGGATTTAGAGAGTCATTCTGTTGGTGTGTTAGCGTGTTCAATGTACCGAGGGGGGGGGGAAACTGCTGTCCGAGACTCACAACTCATTGGAATGGACGAATCCTTGTCCGCTCGCAGCTTCTCGCCCAAACAAGTGCATCCTTCATCGACTGACTCTTCCAGAGAATGCATCCAGTGGTTTTCGTTTCCAACCAGTGCAAGAGTTTAGCCACAGCGAGTCCGTGGTTTCCCCTGGCTGTTTGTTGAAGTATTCTTGCTTTTTTTTTTTGTTTGGGAGAGAGGCTCATATTTGTATTCGTTGGGTTGGTAGATATCAAGCGAATTCGTGGTTGATGCACATCTCCACAAATGGCAGGTTTTTAGCCGCCCCAACTGTTACCGGTCGTGTGTTCCTGTGGAGTCTTCTTGGCGGAGGTCCTGCTTGCATACTTGCGGATCACTCTGATCGCGAAGTTCGTCAAACCTTATTCCACCCCACAAAGCCGGAGCTTTTCACCTGTGGAGATGGTCGGTTTCCCACTTGTGCTTTGAGGATATGTGGACATGAACCTGTCGCTGATTGGACGCCTGTTTGTGTTTCTGAACATTAGATGGAATGGTCAAGGTATACAGCTCAGTGCCCCCGGCTTCCTTGTCTACTCGTGGAGCAAAGGCCAAATAAACGAACGACAAGTCTCGACCAAAATGAGCGCTCTCCCCTCTAAGAAATGATTGTACTCAGAGTTGGATTGAAAACCCAAGCGTTTGTTTTTCTGACATGAAACGAAGAAAAGCAACCGCGGGCAAATCAAAAACAACGCGAATGACAAAGACAACAACAACAACAACAACAACAACAAAAAAAAAATCAATAAGCAACCTCAATGCATATTTGCAAAGAAAAAAAAAAAAAGACGAGAAAGGAAAAAAAAAAAACCAACCGCATCCACCAGGCAACGCTCAACCCAGTTCAGCAAACTACCACTACTCGAGCACAGACCCGGCGTTGATGGTGGCCTGCATCAGCTCGGGCGAAAGAAAGCCACCCCATTGGTCATCATCACCGACGGAGAGCGGCGGAGGCTCCATCGAGGAGGCAACGTCATTTGAGCCAAAGGTGGCGGGGGTGGACACGACGGGTGGTAGGATGGACTCGATCTGTGCCGGAGCCGACGAGCGAACCTTGGCGGCTTCCAAAAAGCTGTCAAAGTCGTCGGAAGAATCGGTGAAGGTCGGGGGAGTTCTCGTCGCGGCGGCAGAAGTGATCGAGCTGGCAGCGGCACTCGCTCCGGGGTCAACGTGAGAGCCAGAAAACAGAGTGGTCTGTGCTGGAGGCAAAGGCTCAGCAGCGAGCGCAGCTGCGGTCGCACTCGAAGCAGCCAGAGCAGCGGGATTGGTCAACGCACCAGCATCACTGTCATCATCAAGCCATCGTCGCATGTCCGGCGACATGAACGAGTCCGAATCGGCGCGAGTGAGCTTGCTGCAGAATGCAATCAAACAGAGACCACAGCAAGGAGAGACAACAGCAAACAGAGACAACAGCAAAATGAGAGCATGAAAGTTTTGTTGATGTTCGCTGTTTCCTCAATCTCCGTGTCTCTCTCTCTCTCTCTCTGATACTGATTTCAGCTGAGATGACCAAAGTCGTCGACCACACCACCACGATTCATCACACAAAACGTACGACTGAGCAGGCGTGGCAGGAGCAGCAATGGCCGAGGTTTGGGGAGCAGCTTTTTGAGGCGTGGCAGGTGCCGCAGCAGGTCCGTGACTGAAGGCTGACGTTGCCTGGGATTGAGTGGCAGGTTGGTGAGCTGCACGAGCGGCGCCTCGTCGAGCGACGATGGCCTCTTCTTCCTGCTTTTTGAGCCGCTCTTCTTGCTCGGCATACTGCGTTTCCAGCTCCTTGTCTTTGGCCGTCTGCTGACGGATGATTTCGTCAATCTTTTTACGTGTGATGGCTTGGATTTCCTCCGGGGTCAGGACGCGTGGATTGCGTTCCCATTCCGATTGAGGTGTGCGACCAAGATCCGCGTCCGCAACGCCCATCAGGATGTCTGCATCATCCGTCGCTGCACACATGCAAAACAAAACAAAACAAAACAAAAACAAAAACAACAACAAAAAAGGGGGGTTCCAATAAGCACTTAAGTAAGTCAAGCGATTTCGGTTTTTGAGAGTCCAAATGAAGCCCAAATTTCGCCAGAATGACCAAAAATCTGAACGGCGAAGTCTGTCGTTCTCCACACAATGCAATCAACACTGACACCAACCAACGCCACAGAGCTGGTTGCACTTCCGACATACACGACTTTGATGCGTAAGAGAGAGAAAGGGAGAGGGAGAGAGAGAGAAGAGAGAGAGAGAGGTTGTCGCGTTCCCCTCCCTTTCTCTCACAATGATGCCGCGTTCAAACACACTCGCTCTCTCAACCACCCAGTCCCACCTCACGCATCACTCACAGACGTAACGTGGAAACTACCACGTCTCCCGCTCTCGAAACCAGCACAACACAAACACCTCCCCGCCAGCAACGTCAACCTTCGGGGCAGAGTCAGTCACACGGCGAGCACACTCCCCAGTTCACGTTCACCCGTCCGACACTAGCAACGGGCAGAGCGAACAAACGAGCACGAAAAGTCAAGCCAAAGTGAAGTGAACGTGAAAGTGGCAGCGAGTTCGCGAAAGAAGACAAAGACGAAAGACGAAAGAGGGGGGAAAAACGAGTTCTAATGCAAGTTCAGCCAAAAGTCGTTTCGTCCTCTCTCTCTCTCTCTTTCTCTCGCCTCCTTCGACTGAGGTAGCATTCGGAGTGATGGTGGTGATGATGATGATGATGGTGATGGTGATGATGGAAAACTCACTGCGAGCGTCCATGCGCAGGAGCGAGGCAAACTCAACGCCGTCCATCAGCTCGCCAGAGTACTTTGCATTGCTGGCTGGCTGGGTGCTGCGCGCGGACATGGACAGGCCGCCCGAATACGACATGTTTGAGCCGCTGCCATTGCCGCCGCCGCCACCACCGCAGAGAGACGAGCATACTCCACCCATGGCTGTGTAACCAAAAAAAAAACAACGGTCTATCAAGAAGTGGTTTGTGCTTCAACAACGAAAGAAAGAAGAAGGACTGAACAGAAAAGCTCAGAATTGACTCAGAATTGACTAAGAATTGGCCGAAGGGTAAAATGGCAGGGTACACATGTACCACGAATCCAAAAAGGCCTATACTATTGAAGATTCGCCCAGTACCACACTCGATGATGAATGGAAACAAACATATCAACGGCGAGTTCACCAACCCAGCAATCTGCGCCACCACGACACACCACTCTCATTCACTGCTTCGGGTTGAGGCTGCGGTGCGTCTGCTGGTAATTGCACGTCCATGTCAATCAAGAGGGGCTCGCGAAGACGGCCGACATTGCGGAAGGTGCCAGCACACGTCGCCGCATTCACAAACGCGATTGGCGCAGCGCGGTCGCTTTCAGTCCTGTGGTAGTACTCGGAATCGACCGTAATTCCGTAGAAGCCGTGCTCGTGGCCATGTATTTGCAGCCGAGGCCGAACTTCCTGCAACCGATCTGCCAATTCGTTGTCCGAGCGAATGTAGTGCCGCAGCCTCGGTTCCACGACGCCGTATGGAGGCTTGTGTGAGACAACCACATCGGTGTCTGCAGGCAGCAGGTCACTGTAACTGTCAGTGCCTCGTGGCAGCCCAAACGTCGATCCAAAGATTCGCACGCCTTGCGCGGTTGTGATTGTCTCGTTTTGCAGGACGCGCGTATTCCGCAGCAGTGATGACATGGATTGCAAAGCGAAAATCCTGCTCCAATGCACGTCATGATTGCCAAACACTGCAACCTTGGTGGCATGCGGCTGGCGATGCATAAACTTGTTGAACGAGGCACAGTGCGCGCTCTTTCCGAGCCCTGAAAAGTCTCCCGCATGGATGAGAATATCTGTCGTGGAGTTGAAAGTACCAGCAAAGTGAGCGATGTGTTCAACTTGTTCAAACCATGCTTGCACATTTTGACAACGTCAGCACGTCTATGCTGTCGTGCGCTGGAACGAGATTGAACCATTTTGGAGCAGGGTTTTGTTTTCTGTTTCGGTTTCAAACATTCTGTGCGTTCTTACCGCCTTCCGGGACGTTGAGCTGCTCGTGCGCGCCGTGGGTGTCGCTGATGCACACGATACGCACAGTGGCCATTTGCGCACCGGGCGGCAATGGCTTACGTAGCGGGATGTGCAAGTGCGGTTTCGGGCGTTGTTGGGGCGTTGTGGTTTGCGACGACACGGTGGACACTGATGTCATCGCTCTGTCTCTGTCGCTGGGAAGCAGTTGGTGTGATAATGCAACAAAATGAAGACTGAGACTGAGTTTTATCAACCCTGGAAAACTTGGAAAAGAGAGAAACGCAAAAAACACACGACGCATGCATTAGAATTGAAATGGAAATGGACATTGCCAAGCGCCAATGCGAATGCGAATGCAAATCCCGACAGTGCAGGCGTGCTTGGAAACTGTACCTGTATGTATTCCATTTCTCATTTTGGATTCGACTCAGTCCCATAGTGTGTGTGTGTGTTTGCCATTCAAAACCTGGCATGGCTTCTGAGAGCAATCGCATTCAATCCGCCCAAGACGAAGATGTCGACGCAGAGAGCTTTTACGAGCCCGGTCTGTTCCTCGATCTCAAGTACGAGCACGTTTTGTTCCTATCTACAAAATGCTGTTGACTGAGTGGAGTTGTAATGCCACTGAGCGGAGATTGCCCTTGCTCCAAAGATTACTAAATCGTGACGTGCTCTCTCTGCTGCTGCGACAGCTACGCCATCTCAACCGTCCAGTTCGAGCATGTCACCGTGCAAGTCAAGACGCTCCAATCAGGATCCAGTGCGTAAAATCCCCAACTCTGCTGCTTCGCGCTATTTGCCCTCAATGTCGTTGCGCCTCGTGGTGGCTCACTGTTGAACCCAACTCTCTCAACTCCGACGCGACCCCGCCTGGCTTGTCGGTGCCTCCACATCCCTTTGTCGTCATTGTTGTGTGACTTGCACAGCCGATTTCGATCTCACTGGCCAGATTGTATGGCCGGCAGCCTTGGTAAGTCACTCCTCTCGGCACTGCAGTGTTGGACGCGGTCGCTCAATTCAAGTTGACTTGGTTGCTCAGCTCTTGTCCAATTATCTGGTTGAGCACCCGTCCGAGTTTCAAAATGCCGGCTCCATCCTTGAGGTCGGCTCTGGAATAGGTGAGCTCGTGTCGTATTTCGCTGGTGCTGTAAACGTGCTGTAAACGCGCTGTAAACTCATTTTGAGCAACCGTGGACATTCGCAGGCGTTTCAGGACTTGTAGCTGCCAAACTCCACCAAAAGCCAGCTAGTGTTGTGCTATCAGACTACTCGCAAATAGTTCTTGATGTTTTGCGCGAGAATGTGACGTTAAACTTTCCAGAAGAGTCCGCAGGTATGCCGACGACGGAGATGGAATTCATGGCTGGTTTGCACAGCACCGTTCACCCCACTCATCACCGTCAAATACCTACCCGCTTGGTTAGCACCTCGTTGCGCAGCGTTGGCCTGGGGATCTGATCTGAGCGACTTTATCGAGAACCACGGCTTGTTTCAGTGCATTATTGGCGCGGACGTGGTGTACTGGCCCGACCTCGTTGCCCCTCTCCTCCAAACTGTCGAAAAGCTACTATCTCATGAAGTACGTCTGGTTTCGTTTGTGTTGCCTTGTTCAAGTCGATTCGGAAGTGATGACACAGTCGGAAGGAACTAACTCGACGGATGTCGTGATGATTTTGCAGCCAAACTCTTTCAGCATCATCAGTTACATCTCGCGCAGCGCTCAAATCGATCGATTGTTTGAATCGACGGTTATTGATCTGGGTTTCAATGTCGAGCGTATCCAACTAGATGGCAAGTGCCTTGCTTTGGCAGAAAACGAGCGAGCGGCAGGCAAGGATGGCATTTTGTTCCGCCTGACCCGAGTGCCAAAGACCAAGATATAAGAGACGCTTGCTGTCATAGCTGCTTTGTTTCGTGATGTGAGCCAACAATGGGGTTTGCGCTTCCCCGTTGTGAAATCGATGACACTTGAAAACAAGAATAATCTCCATCTTCATTTTACAAAATCAAGTTACACACACGTACAGCGCATGAATACACAAACAAAACGCTCAACTCTATTCCAGGCCCATGGCGATCAATGCTGAAAACTCCCGCTGCACCTCGTTCTTGAATTGCGGACCAAGTGCTTTTCGCTTCAGCATGCCGTCCCATTGGAGATCATTCAATCCGCCCTTCTGAGCAATCTTGAACTTGACCCGCTTGGCAAAGTCAATGCTATCTTCATTCTGTGCTTGCCGCATCGGAGTCAAGTAGTAGACATCGGTGACGACGGCCCATGTTGTCATCAACGACAAGATGTGCATCAAAAAATTTTGTTTGCTTGAGTCCCAGAAGCACTACAAGATGGAAGAAGACGATTTAGTAAGTAGATGTATGCCTTTCAAACCCAACATTCGCTCCATTTTTTTTTTTTTTTTTTTTTTGCTTGCTCTTCTTACCTCGCCAAATGTAGCGTGGTACTTGATGGCGACGGGGTAAACTGTGGCACCAACTTCGAAAGAGCCCTTCTTGAACATCATAACGGATGTGTTGTTGACACAGGTGCCTGAAGTTTCAAACAAACAACAGGGCAAGTCAGTGACGTGCAAGCGAAATAAGGGACAACACGCATCCAACTTTTGACCAACTTTGACGGCCGCTGAACTGTACCTTCAGGGAAGACGAGAATCGGGTTGTTGGACGGATCCTCGACATGATCGCGCAACCGACGTGCAACCACTTGGCGATCCCGCGCTTCGGAGCGGTCAAACCAGATGTGCGTCTGAGCGATGGAAAGCGTCTTTTGCAGCAATCCGATAAACCCTCCGTGCCGCTGTCCGACCATCGAGTAGCAATTATCGTTTGCCAAAACAATGCAGTCGATGGGGGAGGTGTGGTTGGCCACCACAATGCCTGTCGGGGCTCGATTTTCTGGATTGTGATAGCGCACCATTGCAGACCACGACAGAACAAACATGCGAGCGGTGAAGAACGAACAATGGCGTTCGAGCGTTCTTCGGAAGGATGCCGACCGCGGGATGCAGGCAATCAGCGAGAATGAAGCAATGAAAAACCCAACGGCCGTCAATGCAAAGACGAGACGGAATGGGAAGAAGAGGCAGTACCGCACAAAGATGCCACAATAGTACAACGCGCGAAGCCGACGCGAGATTGGCACTCCTTCCAGTTCCACTGGGCGCGAGCGGGTCAAGAGGTTCCAGGACTCGAGGTCTTGTTTCGCAAAGCAGCGCGTCACGTCATCATCCGTCAGCGCTTGCATGGCGTCCGACGCAAAGCCACAAATGTCGGACAGCACAAAGTTCTTCTTGAACGTCGCTACACCACACACAAGAATCAACCAACAAACATCATCAACCACCAGCCTCAAAGTGAGTGTTTTGCCCCCCAAGTGATCATCACACTTTGAGTGGCTGGACACTCAAGCAATTCGCTGTTTCGCATTGCGTTACCAAACGATTGAGAACGCGTCATGCCGCTTGGCTGTCCAAAGGGAAGCTCGTCCGAGACCTGACCGCCACTACTTGTATTACTATTGCTTGCATCGCTGGAGCCACTGTTACTGCTACTGCGCGGGCGGGACGGAGCAGCAGCAGCGGGCGCCTCGTCGCGTGCAGCTTGTAGCAGTTGATAGCTCTTGGAGCGACGCAGCGAGGGCTCTGGTCGTTTTGAAGCCGGGTCGTCCTCGCTGCTGCTGGTGGACATGCCTGCGGCTGTGGCTGTGGCTGTGGCTGTGGTGTCCGCTGACTGCTGCTGCTGCTGCTGCTGCTGTTGGGTGGCGGCGTTCGTGACTTCTTGCTGCTGATGATACGACGCCACGTCTTCGCTGTGGACGCGCTCCACGTACCGCAGCAGACTGCGCAGAGCAGCCATGTAGATGCGACGCACTCCCAGCGACAATCCCAGAAAGGGGAAGGACAGCAGAACGAGCACGAGCGTCGCTGCCCACATTGTCTGCGCGTTGGAAAGATTTGGGAAGAGACTGAAAAAGGGTTGCTCAGAGCTGCTAAGAAGTGGAAAAAAAGTCGAGTGGTCAAGAAGAATGAAATGGATAACAATCGTAGAGGGATTCAGGGTGGTGGTGGTGGTAGTGCTCAAAGAATTGTGATTAAAAAAAAGTGTATCAAGGCCTATTACAAGGTGGAAACCATCAAAGAAATACAAGTGCATCATCATAACGCGAGCTAAAGGAAAAAAAAAAGAAAAAGGATCAAAAGAGATCAGGCAAGCAAAACGCAACGTTTATTGCTTGCGAGGCTTCTTGGACGAGGCCGGGGTTGCGGGAGCTGCTGCTGCGCTGGGGGTGGCAGGTGCGCGGGCATCGTGCTGCTCGGCAGCACGCTTCTGAGATTTGACGGCAGCGGGCGTTGCCGGAGCAGCTTGGACTGGGGTGTTGAGGCCCTTCGGAGGCTTGGAGACAGCGTCGTGCTTGGCGGGGGTTTTCGAGGCCGGGGCGGGTGTGGAAGGTGCTTCAACCCGAACCTTCTTTGGAGTGGCGGCAGGCGCTGTCGGAGCAGCCGGCTCAGCAGGGCGCTTTTGGGAGGCACGAGCATTGCTGTACCAAACACGGCACAAGCAAACACACAAACAGACACATACACGTACACAGTCAGCGCATGTTTCAATTTGACGAATCATCACAGCGAAAACAAGCACACTCACCCCGACTCGCTCGGTTTGCTGGAGCGGAGGCCGGCGAGAAGTTGCTGCGCGATGGAGCGAACCGCTGTTGATTGCTCGCAAAGGCTAGAGTCAAGCAGCGCCTCAACAGCCGAGACGCACTCGTTCACGTCGAAAGCGTCGTGCAACTGTGGAGAGAGAGAGAAAATGATGGACAGAAGAGCCAGCAACAAGCCACTCAGTACCAAACTTTGCATCAACACAATCACAAGTCGTTGTTGGTGAAGAGGCAACTCACCGAAACCTGATGTTGCTTGAGAATGTTCAAGTTCATCTGGGCAAAGCGGAGCATCTCGCGCATGTGCTTGGCGCGCAGCTGCTGCTGCTCGTTGTTCTGGACGTACTCGCGGATGGCGGCGGCAGAAGCAAGCTGGATGCTTCGTGAAATTTCCACCAACCGATCGGGGTGTGCAACCTGCGAGACGACACGAACATTGAGTGGTCGAAATCTCCGACGAAAAACTCCAGGCAGCAAACAAACAAACAAAAAAAAAACCCGAAAAAAAACCAATCACTTACAATAAACAGCTTTTGCTTCATCAGCAAGCCAAGCAAGCCATACGCTTGGGTGATGCGGAAGGCAGTGTTAGCGGAGGTGGTTGCAGCCACCAAGTCTTCAGCGAGCAGCCAGCCCACTTGGGGATATCGTTGTATCAACTCCTCAAACATGGATGGATACAGACGTGTACCCTTCTTGTGCATCAAGTTGTTTAGTGCGTTGCGGAGCAGGGGCTCAACGATTGCGCGGTCCAGCGAACCAAACTAAACCAACACAAATTCAACAAATGAATTAAAAAAAAATGAGTACTTCCAGAAACTCTTCCCCGAAAGCCACACAAGGACAGAAACAGCCACTCACATCATCGGATGACTCTTCTTCAGCAGACGCATCCGTTTTGCGCTGGCCTCGTGTCTTGAGCGGGCTGACTTCCGAGGCAGCGTCGTTGCCAATAAGCACGCGCAGAACTAGCAACATGGCAGAGGTACACAGGCTGACATGCGCGACCGTGGGGGCATGGAGCGCCTCCGACATGATGTTCTTGAGAATATCGTGGGCATGCTCGAGATTGAGCGCTGGTGTTTTCGGGTAGGGCTTTATCTTGGACAGCTTGCTCTTAAAGAGCAGGTCCAATCGCTCGCTCACTCCGGCAAACTGGCGCGAGCCAAAAGTGCGACGGATGGTCACCAGGAAGGGCAAAATAAGGTCGAGGACTAGCGGGTTGGCAGACTGCTTGCGGATGAAGATTTCGAGCAAATCAATGACCTTCATCTTGAGGTGCAGCATGTCGCGCTTGGCATCTGCAGAGGAGCACACAATGACGTGAGACGAGTCAAACAATAGTTCCGCCCCACCCCCCAAAACCAAAACCAAAACCAAAACCAAAACAAACAAACAACAACCCCCCGCATTCCCCCCCCCAATAAACTCATGCCTTACCGCGACGTTCGACAGCCAGATTGCGCTTCTCGCGGAAAACTCGAGCAAGAGCCTCATCAAACTGAACCATGGCATCGTCGTCAAAGAGCTCTTCGTCAGACGAGTCCGACTCGGGCTCGACGGGCTTGGCCTTGCCGTTCTTGCTTCCGGCCTTGGGCTTTTGGTCGCCGTTGGGCTGGACGCTGTGGGCCTTCTTGGAAGCTGCCGGGCCAAGGGCGGCGAGAATCTTGCGGCGGAACTCATCGTCCACCTCGCCTTCTGGGTCGGACTCGTCGAGATCAGAGTTGTCCTCTTCGTCGTCGCTGCCAAAGCTCAGCACGCTCTCGTCGTCGCTGTCAGCCGCCTTGTGGTGCCGATCAACATCCATGCGGGCGTGCTGGGCAATAGAGTCGCCCTCCTCCTCATCCTCGTCGTGGTGGTCGTCGTCACTATCGTCGTGCTCGTGGTCACCAGCGTTGCCATCATCATTTTCGTCCAGCTGCATGAGCTGATCCGAGTCTTGCAGTTCAAAGAGGTCGCTTTCGCCAGTCTTGGAGTCGCGCACCTCGAGAACGTCGAGGAAGAGCTGCAACGAAGTCTCGGTGAGCTGGTCGCAGAACACGCGGAAGACTTGCATCACGACGTTGCGCATCAAGCTGGAAGGCTTGGACAAGAACGAAATCATAATGTCGCACAGCACATCCAATGGATTGGGCGCGTCGCCAGCCTCGTCTTCACCAGACTTTGGCTTCTTGGCATTCTTCTTTGCGCCAACGTTATGCGCGAGTGTCTCCTCATAGACGTGCTCCAGTTCGTCGAGAATGTCCACACTCTCGGCGGGGCTGGAGAGCACCAACACGCTCAAATGCAAGAACAAGAGCTCGAAAGCGCGGCATTGCGCTCGCAATTGTCGGTTGTGTTCAGCGCTCTTGACAGCGTTCTTGGACGGAGTGCGAGGGGCGGAAGGGGCGGTGGTGGGCGCCTCCTCCAGCTCGGCAGCGCGAGCATGCAACGTGGCAGCGATGGCAAGGGCAGACTCGCGAGCAGTCAACATTTCCGGAGCAAATTCGGTTGCTGGTGTCAGGGTGATTGACGCTGCACCTGACGACTTGCTCTTGGTGGGTGTCTTGGTCTTGGCAGCGCCCGCAGACACGTGGTTCCAAGAAATGAGCGTCGAAGCATCGGCCGCCAGCTGTTGGACCCAGAAATCGCCAGAGGCCATGGTGCCTTCAAGCTGCTGGAGCTGGCGGGAAGTCGGCGCAGCCGCACCTTCTTCCTTGGGCGGGGTCATGCTGGACAGTTCTGCCAACACGCTGGAAAATCGCTGCAAGACCGAAGTGTGGGTGCTCGCGGTCAGAGCGGGAGTCGGGACATGCGACGCTTCGGGGAAGGGCGCAGATCCGCTGCCAGACAGGTTGAACAGACCATGAGCGAGCAAAAATCGGGCAATCGACAGCAGCAACGCCTCGTCCTTGGGAATACGGCCGTTGCGGACAATCATGAGCAGCTGGTCAATGGCCCATTCGCGACGTGCCTGGATGCGGCGCACCTTGTCGGTGGCAGCATCCGCCGGGGTGGGTTGGGCACTTTCGAGCACTGTCGACGACTCATCATCGCTGATGACGCAGACGAGGAACTGTTGCATGGCAAACTCTGCGTGAGCCTTGACGCCTCCAAGATCCGAGCCGACAATCAGACGCTCAACGGTCTTGGTGCCAGTGAGCGAGTCGAATCGGAGGTTGCCTTGCTTGCCGAGCAGCTGGGCGAGCACGGCAGAGCGCGTGGTTTGGTCGTTGCTCTTGTTGACAATTTCGACGAGCGCATCGAGAGCCGAGCGAGCAGCCTTGTGAAGCAGGGTGTGCTTGCCGGCCGCATTGGTGATGAGGGAGCGGATGAACTGGCGTGTAAAGACGAGCGCGACTTGCGAAGGTTGTAGGCGAGCCAGGAACATTTCAAACAGCTTGAAGCCGAGGAATTTTCGCTCGTGGGTCGAGCCAAACAGCGTGCCCTCAACGACAACAGTCCAAAAGTCTGTAATAAGATTGTCGGCGCTGGGAGTGGGAGCAGCGCCAGACTTTTGCTGCTTGCCGGCCTTCGTCGAGGCAGCTTGGCTGGCAGGAAGCGTCAGCTCGTCAAGCACCAGTTGCCACACAATGTGAACGCGGGGATGTGCCACGTCGGTAGATTCGGCCAACATGGTCGCCAGCTTTGCAAAGTTGGCGGGATGCACGACACGAGCATGCTTCCACTGACCAAGGAGGCCATCGCAGGCTTGAGGCGCCCAGCGTTGCAGCGCCAAGGAGACGGCCACAACCTCGGGGCCAAACTCGGACGCGTTGGCGAGGAATGGTGCGAGCGTCGGCACGAGTTGTGCCGAGATGACGCTCGCTGGGGTGGTGCGGACGAGCAGAATCAGCCCTTGGCAGCAAATCTCGCGCACGTACGACTTCTTTTGGAGCATGTGGATGAGATCTGATGCAATGCGAGTCACGATTGGCATGTGTGTGACTGCAACGGTGGCTGTTTTGTGGTGAGCAGCAGGGGTGCGCACCGCGGAGGCGCTCTTCATGCGACCAGCAGCGTTGTCGTCGTCATCGTCATCATCGGAGGAAGACGACGAGGTGGCGCCGGAATCGTCCGAATCGTTGCCAGAGGAGCTGTTGCGAGCATGCGACGATGCAGCCGGGCCATCCGACACGGTGACTGCCGTTGCGTTCGGCACAGTCTCTGCAAGGACGGCCGGATCCGATGCGATGCGGTCCGAGCGAAGAATCGAGAGCAGCGCAAACACGCGACCAAACAGCGCGTCCTTGATTTCCTGAGGCGTCCCAGGCGCAGCCCGGGAGAGCATTGACGGCGACGCAGTCGAGTACGGCGCGGTGGGATCGACGAGCTGCTCGTCCATCAAGCGAACGACGCGCGCGAGTTCAATCTGGTGGAAGGTGCGCAGCAGCAGCGTGAGGCCGAGCGCAAAGCCCTGCCGAGCGCCCTCGCGGCTCGATGCAACGCCGCGGATCAGACGACGCAATGCGTAGTTGACGTCTGCACTCAAATGACGATCATCGTCATCATCATCATCATCCTCGTCGTCTTGGTCTTGATCATCATCATCATCATCGTCGTCAACGTCGCCTTCAGCTGGCTCGTTGTCGCCCTCGTCCTGGTCGTCCTCGTCGTCATCGCCCTCGGCCGCCTTGCTCCGATCGGCCTGTGATGCGCCCGACTTTGTGTTGTGAGCATCGCGGGCGCCGGTGGCTGACTTTGCGTTGGCCTTGGCTGGGGCTGCATTGGCCTTGGTCGCCATGTGGCTTGCTGCGGCCTTCGCTCCGGCTGCGGATCCTCCTGCCACCGCTGCTGCTGCCGCCGCCGCTGCTGCTGCTGCGCTGATGGCTGGCTTGCCTGACGCAGCAGACGCGCCGTGGGCACCTGCGGACGCGGCCGATCCCGCCTTGAGCCGGGTCGCCTCGTGCGTGCCCTGGGCCACGCGGAGGCCTTCGACCAGCGACGTCGCCGCCGCCGTGCGCACCTTCTCCTCCAGCGAGGCAAGGTTGTTGTAGTGCTGAAGCAGGTTGCTTGCCGATGCCACCACCAGGCCCGGACGACCGCCCTGGGCTTGGGCTGGTTTGACAGGCTTCATAGTGATGGATTGAATGGAAAATGAAAAAAAAAAAAAAAAAAACAAGCTGAATAAAAAAAAAAAAAAAAAAGAAAAAAAAAAAAAAAAAGAGCAAGTCGGGACTGAGGCGGATGGATGGACTGGTCGCTGACAATGAGATGTGCTCGAAAGCCAAAAAAGCACAGAACGAACGCGAGAGCAAGAGATGGGAAGAAAAAAAACACGGATGGATGCAGTGGAAAGAAGGAAACGAAAAATGGATACATTTCAACAAAGTTGGTCGAGCTGTTTCGAGCTGTTTCGTTCATCCTGACTGTTTCAAAAACTCGTCCACCCAATACTTGGTTTGGCGCAAGTAGAACATTGGGTCGTCGTTCGGGTAGTACTCGTACGAGAAGGGTGGGTCGGTCGTCGTGCTGAATTTGACGGCAGGCTCGATTTGTGTGCCTTCATGCCTGTTTTCAGTTCCCAAATAAACAACAACACGGACGCAGTGATGAGAGAGGGGCTTTTCCTGACCCTGTTTGAAGAGCTGGTAACGCCTTCTCTCACAGACCACGGCCTCCATCAGTGTGCAAAAAAACTTCCACTTACCACTCATTGAACGATGTGATGGACACCACTTCCGGTTTCACACTCAACGCAGCCTTCCACATGTCTTCGTAATACTTGCCGTCACCGCGTCCGCGCTGGTTTGCAGGATTCCAGGGCCGAATGCGCAGATCGCTGTATCCAGGTCCGACGCTTGGCACCCAAATGAAGCGGTTGGAACTTGCCCAACGCGCAATGTCCGCCCATTGACGCGTTGTGCTGCCGTACGTGAAGCCATCCGTCGCAAAGTACGAGTAGGCGCCATCAAAGCCTCCAGAGAGCAAGTCTTGCTTGTCGTTTTGGTTGACGAGCAACCCAATTGCGACAACGTCGTACTTGGTCCCTCGAACGGTCAGATCGCCTGTTCGACCAAACACGCGCTTCCAGCTCGCCGAAGGCGTCTGGTACGAGTCGTAGACATAAATCCAAGGCAAATTGCCACGCGTAGCATCGCGGAACAGTCCGGGATGCCCGCCATACAAGTCGAGAAACTCAATCCAAGCTGCGCGCGTTGATGGGCCGTCGCGGTTTTTGAATGGCTAGAGGGTGTTGAGTGTATCGAGCATGGCCAGAGCAAAAAACAAACAAAAAGCAGCACAAACAGAGAGGCAGTCGCAAGAGGTAAGAATAGGCAGGAACGAAAGATAGAGCACTGATCTTTAGGGGGGGGGGGCGTATGTTTTACCTCGATGTGCAAGCAGACTTGCAGCCCATACTTGGCCGCAGTTTCTAGAACCAAGTCGTTATGAGCCTTGTTGAAGATGCCTTGATCGTCCGCGAGGCCTGGTGGATACCACGAGAGCGACAGAACAGCAATTCCTGCCTCCTTCATCTGTCGCATGTGCAAATCCACCACGGCGGGATTGATGGAGGAGTACGGCCCCAGCTGCGGGTAAAAGTTGGCTCCAATCTGCTCCGGGGGAGTGTACTTGTGGTTGCCATTGATGACATTGTGGTTCCTGCGAGAAAACAAGACCCAGTTCAAAATTCACAAAAAACCGATCAGTACTGAGACTGTAGGACATCCATTCCGTTGATCTCACAACGGTATAACCATTGCGCTGTGCTCATCTTCTCCTTTACCAATGCAGATACACCGAGTCATACTCGGGTGCGCCGTACCACGCATAGTAGAATGCATGAATACGCGGCGACGGTTGCTCTTGAGCGACCTGCGCCTGTGCTTGCTGCAGATCGCGAGCCTGCGAATCATGCTGTGCCTGCTCGTCAAACGCTGGCTGGTGGCGGGGCCCAAGGGCCGGTGGCTGGGGCAGTAGCTCTGGGAGCTGCATGTCGTTCTGACGCAGCCGCGGCGGTGGATGTGCACCGCGTTCTGGCACCACCGGCGGGAGGTGCTCTTGGAGTTGCACATGCTGCTGCTGTTGCAGCCGGAGCTGCTCTTGGCGGAAGTTCTGCAGCTGCTCGTGCTGCTCGCGTCGGAGTTCAGCAATCTGCTCTGGTGAACCAATCAGCTCCTCGCTTTGGCCTTCCGAGGTCTCAGGAGGCGGCGGAGCTGTTGCAAACAGCACGCAGACAATCACACCCACTATGGCCAGAGCGGCGAGAAACCGGCGCGTCCGGGGTCGGAGGATGATGGTTCGCATCAAATCTGAGAGGCAACAGAGCGAAAAGCGGACTGTCCTCTCTCTCTCTCTGGGGTCAGTGTACGTGAAGTCCTGTATGATGGTATAGCAGTGCATGATGCAAGACCAACGCAACCGCAGTGAACGCGACAAACGGAAGGCAGTCGCTGTTGTTTGTTGTTTGTTGTTGTTTTGATTAGATTGACATTGACAGCAATGAAATAAGCACGTATAACAGCATGAAAGATGCCGAGAATGATTACACACAGGGGTTACAAAACCCCACACAAAGCTTTGGCGCGTTGACAACTGCAACTGCAACAACGGCGACTGTGCCGCATCTTGCTTTGCCCTTGACACGCGAGTTTTCAAAGTTTGCTGAAACGAGCAGTCACGCGTTCTTGCTTCTTGTGACAACAACACCAACCACTACTACCACGACGACGACGACGACGACGACTGTACTACTTGTCCTTGAGACTCGAGTTTCGAAGTGCGCTTAGACGAGCAGTAACGCGTTCTGCTTCTTGTTGCACGCTTTCCTGAGTCTTTTCGGCCTTCACAAAGAGTGAGCGAATGTCATCTCGCAGTCCTTCCCAGGTCTTGGCCGATCCGACAGAGCTCGAAACAGTCTGATGGTGATGTTTTTGCAAAAGTGTTTGGACGATACGAGTGAGGTAACAACAGAATCACAAGCCTTTGTAACCAACCATTCTCGTTGATCTCGAGTAGACTGCGACGAGTTTGTTCCGCCACAAGCGCACAAAAGCAGCGTGCGTGCAGCTGTTTTACCTGAGTTTGCATTGCCTCGAGGTCTTCCATCATGTACGATAGGAAGGCGAGCATATTCTGGAGCTTTTGCTTGGTTGAGTTTGTCTCTCTGAGCGATCCCTGCAATCTGTTCATGACAGCGCGGCGGTTGATGCGACCCTTCTCCTTGTTCACTCGGCTCACTGCAGGGTCCATGGACTTTGCATTGGGGCCGTTTGTGCCAGTGCTGCTGCTGCGGCCACTCCGCTCGCCGCCCGACGACCCCGCTGGTGCTCCTGCTGCTCCGGCCGTTGATCCTGGTGCTCCTCCGGATCCTGCAGTGGCCGCAGTGGCCGCAGTGGCAGTCGTGGCAGCAGTGGTAGTTGTGGCAGCAGTAGTACCGGCAGCGGTCTCGTCTGCAGATCCGTCCTCATCCTCGCGTTCTCGCCGTGCTGCTGCTACTTCTGAAGATGACGACGATGCCGACGATGACGACGACGATGATGCTGATGTCGATGCTGGTGTTGCGGATGATGTGGCGGTCGTGGAAGTGTCCATTGGCTGAGCGTCATCGTTCGCTTGCTCTGGTCGTTGCTCAGCCAACGCAGCAGCAGCAGCAGCGCCGCTCTCAGCTGGTAATGCCGAATCCATCTTTCAAGTTTGTTTGTTTTGAAAAAGGGGGAGGGGGGACGGGTTTCGTGTTTATGGTTTGTCTGGTGTTGGTCTCTTTGAGATTTGAGCGAACGCTGAGAAATGGGGTCAAAAACAAAGACTGAGTTTGAGTCTGAGCTTCTCAGAAGCAAACGGGTGTAGTAAATCCCCATCCACTGACTGCTGGATTCACCCCATCCCCATCGAGACGAGCACTTTGACACTTTGATTGTCATCGGCAATGCCACACTCCCTCCCCCTTCCGCCTTCCTGCGCCTCATCAACCTCTGGTGCCTGAGCTCCAGTGCAGGTTGTTCTACTCTCCAACTATCAAAGCTCCCTCCAACAGCTCTCAACCTCGACTCGATTCTCCTGTTGTCATTGCCCTCTTCCCCATGCTCCCCATGCTTCCCATCCCTTCATCGTCGTCATTCTACTCTGTTGCTCGCTATCAGAACAACCCCAACAACAGCAACAATAACAACAATAACAACAACAATAACAACAATAACAACAAAAACCGATCGATGTCACTCTCCTTTTTTGTATTCAGTTTTTCACACCTTTCTGATTTTGCGTTTTTTTGACAGACAACCAATTTTGGAAGGCGTTTTTGATAGGCTGAACTTGTGTGTGTGCGTGTGTGTCGATCATCACGCTACACACCATGCAGCAGGGGCAGCAGCAGCATGGGCTGCAGCAGGGGCAGCAACCATGGCAATCGCAGCCGCAGCAGTACTCGGGCTTCACTGTGCCATTCTACCCGCAACAACAGCAGCAACAACAGCAACAACAGCATCAGCAACAACAGCAACAACAACAGCAACCGCTTTCGCATCACCACTATCAGATGCAGATGGGGATGCAGCCATTGCATGGCGCACCATTGCAGGGAAGCAGACTCGATCCAGCGTCATCTGCGAACGTCGCAGCAGCCCAAGCAGCAGCCGCCCAAGCCCAAGCACAAGCCCAAGCACAAGCACAGTCGCAAGCACAAGCACAGGCTCAGGCTCAGGCACAGGCACAAGCTCAGGCACAAGCATCAGCAGCAGACACGCTGCACCAGATCAGCTTCACGCATCGCCCGCAGATGACTTTCCAGCAGCAGCAACAGCCACAGCAGCAGCAGCAACAGCCACAACAGCAACAAAGGATGATGAGCCCGTTCTACTCACCGAGTCCACCACCATCGCTGCATCACCACCAGCAACAGCAGCAACAGCAGCAACAGCAGCAGCAGCAGCAGCAGCCATTCTACACCCCAGTCGCACAGTACAATGCAATGTACATGAGCCCAGTGGTCGTGCCAGCCATGGTGACGACAATCAACAACAACAACAACAATAGCAACAGCAGCAACAGCAGCAACAGCAGCAACAATGCTGGCACTGGCACTGGCACTGGCATGGACACTGCTGGCCATCTCAGGGCGAACGCGAACGCGGCCGAATGGGACGTTATTTCGAACAAGATCGCCACTGCGACACGTCCGAGTCCAGGTCATCACAGTGCCAATGGATATGCATTGAGCAACCAGAGCCCAGTCGCATCATCGTCGTCATCACCGTCATCGCCGCAGTACGCAATCGCAAGGCAGAAGCGCGTTGCGTCTCCGTTGGCAAGCGGCGATGCGCAGCGGAGGCGAGTGGACGAGTCACCCAGCGCAAGCTCAATAGCTCAGACGCTCACCGTCCACAAGCATACAGGCACTCCGAACGACCCGTACAATGCACAAGCAAGCCCATCTGGCACGCAAGACGTAATGCACTTCCCACTACCAAGCTCAAGCAGCAAAGATCCAGCGAAAGCAATCATCAAGGCAAAGTCTCGCATGACGGGAGGAGCAGCTGGCTCCCCGTCCAGTCCAGCAAATAGCCCGAGTGGTGGTGTCCTGGACTCGGTAACGGGCGCATCATCCGATCGGCACCGACAAGTCCCGGCGTGCATCAACTGCCAGCGAGCGCACCTCGCCTGCGACCGAAAGGTGCCGTGCACCCGCTGCGTTGCCACAAACAAGGAAGCCACGTGCTTGGCAGTCAGCCATCGAAAGCGAGGCACACGAAAAGAAGACGCCGAGGACGGTCCGGCCGCGTCTGCACTGGCGCAAGTGCAGTCTGGCGCTGGTCCATGCCTGCTGAGCGACTTTGCCGATGACGCCAACTCAATGTTCTTGACCTTCTTGTTCAACCTGTTTGGCGGCATGGTTTTGGCATCCGACGGAACAGTGCGGTTGCTGTCGCAGTCGTTGAGCTCGCTTGTTGGCTTGACAGACGATCAAATCTTTGGCCGAAAGATTGCCTTGATTTTGCACCCGAACGACGCGGAGGTGTTCATGTCGCAGCTGACGCAGTCCATGCACACGTCCCTTCCAGTCACATTGGCCCCGCGTCTCCGCTGTGTCCAAGTTCCCAGCATGGATTCCTTCCCCACCACACCATGTATTGGCGGTCTGGATGGTTTGGTCGACTCCAACACCTGGGCCCAACTTCCACAGCACGGTGCCACCACTACAGCAACGCACAGCAACTCGAACGGCATTATTTCGGCAGCAACCGCCACAGGGCCGGCGGCTGGACTGAGTCGGTCGGATTCGGGAGCTGCGCGCGGATGGTTTGTCCCTGTCATCATCACTGGCTGCTGGACTTCCAACGCGAGAGGCCCACATTTTGTCTGTGGTATTCGCCATGTCGGCGTGCTTCCGAGCAGTCATGTCCCCTCGACCTCTGCCGCCATGGCAGCACAATCATCATCAACATCATCAAGTGCTGTCCCTGCACCGTCTTCTGAGCGGTCGTCCACCGCAACTCCGCAGTCACCTGCATCGGTTGTATCCTGGTCGGAAGTTCGAGAACCTTCCCTCCCGTCCTCCCGATCGACGACCGTGCACGATGCCAACAATACTTTGAATGACAGAATCTCACCCACATCATCCTCGTCCTTAGCCGTGCCATCGGCACTTCCGCCTCGAACCGGCTCCTCGTCTCAAACGCCACCGCTGGCGTTGGCGAAGCCAGCCGAGGTCGAGCACCCGGTGCCTGCCCCCAACCCGTCCGCCGCGCCTGCGAGTTCCGAGCCTACCCAGAGGGGAGTGCCGCTGCCAGAGTTGCTACTCGAATTCCCGCGCGGCGTATGGACGGGACAGGTCAGCTCCGAGTATTCGCCCCGCTTGGATCTGTCGTATGTGAAGGATCTGGAGACCATCCCGTTCATTGCCATGAGGTTGACGCTGGACGGGTTTCTCGTGCAAATCTCTGCGTCGTGCATGGAGATTTTTGGATTTACCCCGCTTGAGATGCTTGACAAGTGGGCCTACTGCTTCATTCACACGGAGGACATTGTCTTTAGCACGCAGGTTCATGCCCGGGTGCTTGAGGGTAGCGACGTGACCGGGTATCACGTGCGACTCATGCACCGCAACGGAAATTACGTCGTGCTGGAAGGGCGAACTTGGATGGTTCGCAATCCCGAAACCGGCGAAGGGCGATATCTGATTTCTCTTCTCCTTCCTCACCCTCGGCTGACCAACCGCGACACCAACACATTCGTCGACATTTCCGACCGGCCACGCTGGGGTAGTAGATCAATAGAGCAATAATCTTGCGATCAGTCGTTGGGTCGGTTTTGAGTTTGCGTTTCTTTCTGTGTTTGACGAACGATCTGAGGTTATGCGCTGCAAAAGATTACGAAATAAGATTTTGATCCTGTAGCCACCACTGAGCTCAAATGAATTGAAATGTATTTGATGGAATAAGTTGTGTGCGGGTTGTGTGCAATGAACGTGGGAACGGCACTTAAAAAACCCACAAATTGCAGAGTGCTGAGTTAATAAGGTGGTTGGTGGTTGTTGCTGTTGCCGTTGCCCCGCTGGTGTGGTCTAGGACGGCGGTCTGCGAGCATCGGAGAAGGAGGCATTGCGCTGAACGACAGGGCTTGCTTGGAAATGGTTGATTTCGTCGGCAGACACATCGCCAAACATGGCGGGAGCTGATCCCATTCGAGGGAGTTGACTGCGGTCCAGTGGCACCTCCGTTGCCGGAACCGACCCAAAGTACAGGCCAGTCGAGGATGCCGGCGACTGCCCACTTGCATTTTTTGGCTTCCGAGAAGACTTTTTGGGTGTGCGCGGGTTTGTCGTGGCGGCGACAGGAGGAGGGGACTTGGTCGGCTCAGCCACGGCGGGGTCTGGAGAGCGCAGCGAGCCAAAACTCAGGTTGGCCTGCGCCGGGAAATTTGGCGATGATGCGTCAGAAGCGGCTGAAGACGCGGACGATGGTGTAGCCGGGGTCGAGCGCGATGCAGGTGTAGATGCACCACCAGAGGACGGGTGGCGTTTGACGCTCGAATCGCCGTTGCGCGAGTCAGTGGTGCGGCGTGCCGACCGAGAGTGGCTTCCAGACGTGGTGGAATGAGGACGCGGCGTCCCTTCCCGGCCCTGAGGCGTCTGGCTGCGGGAGTTGGGGTCGCTAGCACGGGGCGGGCGCGACGGCGGCGTGCCCAGGGTGAAGGCGGCACGCGATGTGTTGGTGTTGCTGTTGTGGTTGTTGTTGTTGTTGTTGCTGTTGTTGTTGGTTGATTTGGGGGAGGCGTCGGCAACGGCTGTCGGGTAGATTGCCTGAGCAGCATCCCAGTGAGGCGCGTCAGGCATGGACAATAGGTGCAATCGGTGTGCAATGACATCGATGGCAGCAGCCTTGATTTCCAAGTCGACCGCGCGCTCCGAGCACTTGTCAAAGTACTGGGCAAAGTCTTCGGCGACCGACAAGGAATCGACAGGCGTGCGCTGCATCAGTCGCGACTTTGACGATGACGACGAAGAGGCGGTGCTGGACTCGGACGACAGGTTTGATTGCCGGGACGACCATGCCGAGCCAATCGTCGAGGGAGGCGTGGCCGTTGCGCTGTCGGCACCATCAATGCTGAGTTTGTGGACCACCTTGATGACTTGGGTTTTAAACAGGCTCGGGTTGAAATGCACATAGACAATAGCATCACACGCCGTGGAGCTTCGGATTTTGTGGATGAAAGGAGGAGACTTGTACACGTCTTTTGACGTCATGAGCGAGTCGGGCCCAAGCGCAAACTTGACCTCACTCACATAGTCTGGCACATCCGCTTCCCTGTCCAGGGACACAAACAACGTCCACTCAAACAAAGGGGGCTGCTCCCTCACGGGAGTGACAGGCGCGCTTAACGGGCCAGCGCCCGGGTTGAGCGTCGACGAGGCAAACAAGGTAGGAGAGGAGTGCACCTCCGAATGGTGGGTGGGGAGGATGATTTGAGTCGTGATGGAGCCGCCGCCGACGGGAACGCTGGAGGTGGTGTGACGGGGAGAAAGAAGCGAGGGCGTGACGGCAGTCGAAGTGGAAGGAGTGGCAGGTGCGTTTTGGAGCGCAAGGCCGCAACTGTTCAAATCAATCTTGCTACGACGACTCCACACGAGAATTTTGACGGGCAAGCGAGACTGAGTTGTTTGGCCCGACGAGCCCGAGCGGGGCACTGCACCCATCGAGTTTGGGTATCCTGCCGATATGGGTGTCGATGCAGCGCTTGGCAGGTGTGGCGACATGAAATATTGCGATCCAGGAGGCGCGGAGGCCGGCATGATCGGCGGTCGAGCTCGAGACGAGGTGGTGGCGGCGTCTGACGCCGCGAGCCCGGATTTGGAGCCGTCCAGCGAGGGAAAGTCGGACACGTAACGCAAACCCTCAATCTGCTGCAAGAGCAATCGGCGATGGACGATGGACTTGACGCCAATGTCCTGCAGGGTGCTGTGGTCGAGCTCAACGAGGTGCTTGCCTGCAATATTGTTGGTGCTGAAAACACCGCCGTAGGCCGACAGTTCGTTTCCGAGCCCCGAGAGCCAGGCCCCAACATCATCTTCCGTCCAGTTGATTGCGCCACTCCGTCCGGATCGTAGCCCGACGACATTGACGTTTGCGCCCGATGTTGCGCCAGCAGGCACCGGCTGCGGCAGGCCCCCGACAGAGGATCCGATCGAAGGACGGCCTGCGTTCCACGCACTGCGTGGAGCTGTGATGATGGTGGGAGCAAAGATTGACTGGTACTGCCGTTCCATCTGTCGAAGCCGCAGCTCTCGATCGCTGAGCGATTGCTGGTACTCGCGCAACTCCTTGAGCATCACCGAGAGCTGGGAATCGACGTCTCGCTGCCACGTGTGCTTGGACTTGACAAACGAGTCCGTGGCGGAGGGTAGATCGTCCGAGGACTGGATAAACTCGAGCTGCCGCAAAATGGCCCGGAAGGATGGCCGCTGTGGAGGGTTGTCCACCCAGCATGATTCAATCAAGGTGGAGAAAGATAGCGGACATTGGGCGGGGATTGGTGGTCGCTTTTGGAGCTGTCCTACCAGCCACATGACTTGTGGTGATTGCAGGTTTTGAAATGGGATTTGTCCAGTGAGCATTTCCCACAGAACGACGCCGAATGAATAGACGTCGCACTTTTCCGACACTGGCTCGGATCTTAAAACCTGTGCGTAGGACGAGGAAGGAAAGAGACAGAGAGAAAGTGAGGAGCGATTGGGACACTTTGTCGACGCTCATGTTTACTCCTTTATGGACCATACCTCTGGCGCCATCCACGCGCAAGTTCCAACAAAGCTCATCTGGGTGGTGGACACGAATTCCTTCGAGCAGCCAAAGTCACAGATCTTGGCCACAAGATTGTCGCATATTAAAACATTCATGGACTTGAGATCGCGATGGATGATTGGGACGGGCGCTTCCTCATGCAAGTACCGCATGCCTACCAAGCATGAAAAGAGTCGGGATGAGTGTCGTCCAACCTACCCCGACTCGTCGTGCATACGAGCGGCACCATCCAGCGCACGTACCGTTGGAAATGTCCATGGCCCATTGTGTGATGCGATCGAATGCAAGCTCGTGCTTTTGGATGTAGTCAAACAGCGACCCATGCTGCGCAAACTCGGTGACAATCATCAGGTTGCCGAGCGCCGAGGACACGCCGATAAACTGGACAATGTTGCGGTGCCGCAAGCTGTTCAGCAGGTCGACCTCCTGGCGGGCATCAACACCCTGTCGCAGCTGCTTGACGGCGACGTCGCGTCCGCGGTACTTTGAGCGCGAGACAGCGGCATTGTTTGTTTTACTAAGCAACGACGAGCACACCATCGCGTCCCCATAGTGAGCACCGCAGTTGTGAGAACAGAGGCACAGAGAGAGCGAGAAGAGAGAGGGGCGGCGAAAAAGGAGAAGAAGGAAGATTTTCGTCAGGTCCACATGAGAAGCGCCTTTCCTGCAGCGCGACCACCTCCCGGCTGGAGCTCCCAGTTTGGTAAGCACGAACGAGTTGCATGATGAAGCAGATGGAGTCAAAGACCGCCGCGGAGACCATCAAGCAAAGCGGCCAAAGTCGAGCCAAGAAAACAGAAAAAAAAAAAAAACAAGAAGAAAAAAAAAAAAAAAAAGTTCCCTTTGGCTGCAAATGTTGCGTGCGATCGAACGACAGCAGAACGACACACGAGCCGAGGATGGAGCAACAGGTGCATCACAGATCAAGAACGAGATCACTATCACAGGTAGCATGCAGCAGGAGCGGCGGACGGCGCGATCGGAGATGATGGATGGAACAGCATATGGCACAGGAGAAAAAAAAGAAAGAAAAAAAAAAGTCAATCCTCACCTTAACGGAGCAGAGTCCAACAGCTCGTTCCAGTCAATGTTCGCAACGGGCAGGAACGTTGTCGCCATGTCTGGGAGACCGACAAAAGGAAGGCGGAATCAAAGGGGGGAAGAGGCTGGCAGCAGCAGCAGTGACGGCGGCGGCGGCGGCGGGTGGCGTTGGGTTTGGCGGGAGAGTATGGCGGGAACAAGAGACGAAATTCACAAGAAAAAAAAAAAGCAAAAAGCAGACTGGAGTGCGACAATGAAGCTCAGACAAGATCAAAACGCACAAAAAACTCAGAGCTAAACGAGCTGGAAACATGCCTACCAAAATGAGTGAGCGACACACAATCTAGACCGATGTGTGAAGAAAAAGTGTCAAACCATGAAGCTGCACCTAATTTAGAACCAATCGGTCGGCCTTTTCGTCGACAAAGAGACACACACACACACACACACACACACACACACACACACACACACACACACACACACACACACACACACATCACACAGGTCATGCACAAAACAGCCCCAGGCTTAGGCGGCAGGGTACTTGACGCGCAGCTCTCGCGCAGCGGCAACCATGGTCGTGAGAGCATTCTCGGTCTCGGGCCACTTGCGGGTCTTCAGGCCGCAATCCGGGTTGACCCAGAGGCGCTCGGCGGGGATGACGGCGACGGCCTTCTCGAGGAGCTGGAGCATTTCGGCAAGGTTGGGCAGCCGGGGCGAGTGAATGTCATAGACGCCCGGGCCAATGTCGTTGGGGTAGGCAAAGGTGCCAAAGCCGGTGAGCAGCTCCATGTCGGATCGCGAGGTCTCGATGGTGATGACATCGGCGTCCATCGCGGCGATCGCGGGCAGAATGTCATTGAACTCGGAGTAGCACATGTGGGTGTGGATTTGCGTGTCGTCGCGAACGGGCGAGGCGTTCACTCGGAAGCAGCGCGTCGCCCACTCGAGGTAGGCGTCGTAGTCCTTGCGGCGCAGCGGCAGGCCCTCACGAATGGCAGGCTCGTCAATCTGGATGACGGCAATGCCAGCCTTCTCCAAGTCAGCAACCTCGTCGCGCAAGGCGACGGCGAGTTGCAGGCAGGTCTCGGAGCGGGGAATGTCCACGCGCACAAACGACCACTGAAGCACCGTCACAGGACCAGTGAGCATGCCCTTCATCGGCTTCTTGGTCAAGCTTTGGGCGTAGGTCGTCCAGTCCACCGTCATGGGCTTGGGGCGGGAGACGTCGCCGAAAATGACTGGCGGCTTGACGCAGCGAGAGCCGTAGCTCTGGACCCAGCCGTTCTCGGTGAAGGCAAAGCCAGCCAGCTGCTCGCCAAAGTACTCGACCATGTCGTTGCGCTCGGCCTCGCCGTGGACGAAAACATCGATGCCGTAGGCCTCCTGGCGCTCGACCACGAGCGAAATTTCGGCCTTCATCTTTTCGACGTACAAGGCCTCGGGAATGGTACCCTTCTTAAAGTCAGCACGGGCCTTGCGGATTTCCGCCGTTTGAGGGAAGGAGCCGATCGTGGTGGTGGGGAAGCGCGGGAGCTGGAGGCGGGCGGCTTGAGCCTTGGCGCGGACGGGGTAGGGCGACTGGCGAGCATCGCTGTTCGCAGGGAGCTGGGCAATGCGAGCGCGGACTTCCGGGTTGTTGACGCGGACAGAGCTCTTGCGAGAGGCAACGGCAGCATCGGACTCGGCGAGCTGGGAGGCGACGGCAGCCTCGCCCGAGGTCAAGGCCGTGGCGATGGCAGACACCTCGGCGAGCTTCTGGGTGGAGAAGGCCAGCCACGAGCGGAACTCGGCATCGAGCTTGGTCTCGTTGGCCAAGTCCACGGGGGTGTGCAGGAGCGAGCAGCTGGGCGCGACCCAGAGTCGCTCACCCAAGCTCGAGCTTGCCTTCTGGAGCAGAGCGACAGAGGCGCGGATGTCATTGCGCCAGATGTTGCGGCCGTCAACAACGCCGACAGAGAGCACCTTGGTGCTCGGGAGGTCGACCAGGAAGCTGTCCAGCTGGGCAGGCGCTCGGACAACGTCAATGTGGATACCGTCGACGGGCAGCGACTTGAGCAGGGCGGCGTGGTCGGAGACATCGCCAAAGTAGGTTGCAAGGAGCTTCTTGGGGCCGTGCTTGGCAAGGCGAGCATACGCGGAAGCGAAGAGCTCGAGCTTGTCAGCAGTCAGGTCAAGCGCGAGCGCCGGCTCGTCCAGCTGAACCCACTCGACACCGAGCAACGTCAGGCGGTCCAAGATGGCGGCGTAGACCTCGAGAAGAGCCGGCAGCAGCGAAAGACGAGCAAAGCCAGCCGACTTTTCCTTGCCAAGATACAGGTAGGTGAAGGGACCAACAAGCACGGGCTTGGGGCGCAGGCCTGCAGCAAGAGCTTCAGAGACCTGGGCAAACAGCGACTCGTCCGCGATGGCAAACTTGGTCGTGTCAGCAAACTCGGGCACAATGTAGTGGTAGTTGGTGTCAAACCACTTGGTCATGTCCTGTGCAGGCACGCCAGCGTCGCCTCGAGCCATCGAAAAGTAAGTCTTGAGGTCGGCAGTGCTGCCAGAGGCGTTGGCATGGCGAGGAGGAACGGCACCCACAAGAGCAGTGACGTTCAGAACGTGATCGTAAAAGGCAAAATCGCCAACGGGCGCGAACGCAATGCCAGCGTTCTTCTGGAGGGCCCAGTGCTTGGCGCGGAGCTCGCGGCCGACCTCAATCAGCTCAGCCTCGGAGATGGTGCCGGCCCAGAATGATTCCTGTGCCTTCTTGAGCTCGCGGTTGGCGCCGATGCGCGGGAATCCAAGATTGTGAGCGACGACCATGATTGTTGTTTCCTGCGAATTTCGGGGACGCAACGAGATGGGGCAAAAGTTGGATGTTAGTGCATACACGATTGACTGAGGCAAGTTGTTTGGTGTTTGTATGAGAGGGGAGGGGAGGGACAAAAAGGTACCTGAGCGATGATGCACCCATGGCTTTCTTCCGCTTTTGTGTTTTTTAAGAAATGTTCCATTTTCATATGACGCCATGTGGATCACTGTAGACCACACAGTCGAGCGGCAGCCCCTCCCACCAGAAAATTGTCACACTTTCGAGCGTTGTTTTGTAACTCATGCAACTCCTCTTCCACCACCACCACCACCACTGCCACCACCAGGACTAGTGCATGACCTACCAGACAAAAGTCAGCAACGGCGACAGGCGGTAAAAAAAAAGTGGAGTGAGGTCATTTCCAGCCTCCGAGCCATCCGCTTTTAAACGGCCGTCCGGAAAAGGAAAGCCTCCCTGCCAGCGTGGTCGTGACGCAGCATTGAAAGAGACGCAAAAGAGACCAAAAGAACATTGCAAGGAAGCGACTTTCACGGTGAGGGGGGGGGCGCGAGGGGGTGACGTCCAGGCGGCCTTGTGCCGTGGGCTGACTCGCCCCCCTTGGAAATGGTGGCTTTGGGCGCTCCTCGTTTCAGGTTGTTTTTGCGCATCCGATCGTTCACGCTTTCACAATCCCCCCCTTCGTCCTCCTTCAAGGATCACAGCAGCTTGAGAGGGATCAACGCAGCGTTGTACGACGTGGGTCTGGGTGTGCCAGCCAGCGCTTCCGGACCTGGGCGAGCGCAGAGCAAAGCGAAGAGCGAAGAGCTTGAGTGACAGACATGTCCAAAAAAAAAAAAAAAAAAAAAGAAAGTAGAAAAAAAAATACAATAATAAAAGTATGTGTGAAAAAAACAAAAAAAAAAAAAAATAACAACAACCGCTGCGAAACCGACCGCGCCAAGCGCTGCGACTGCCTTTCGACCAAGCAAAGCTCTTGCGTTCGTTCCAGGCTGCCGATCGCCCCTCCCGCTGCACTACATCCACGCTGTGCAGCGCTGGCATTTGGAGTACAAATGGCCGTTCAAAGGGATGGAATAAAACAAACAAAAAAATAAAAAAAAAAACAAAAAAAAAAACAGGGGCACTGCACCAGAGTTTACACGTGTTTTTGCGGCAAGGTTGAATGCCATTGGCGTAATGCACGCTGGTTTGGCAGCATTGAGCAGCACTGCAATTGGATGGAGGCAGGCATCATGAAGCGAGGCCGTGATCAAAAATAGGGATGACCGTGATCACTCGCTGCGTGATTGCCGCTGTGACCCCCCCTCCTCCCCTCCTGTTCAGTGTCCCGCCATTTTTGACTTTTGTAAAGCACCTATGAAACCCCAGATGCTTATGGATTGATGTGCGTATCTGTATTGGGAGTGTTCGCTCGGCGCGTTGTACAATTGAAGTCTTTCGGTTTCCGTTTCGTGAGACGACCCACTCTCCACTCTCGTCATCAACCACAAATACTACTCGTCTCTTCGTAGAACGATCTCTAATCATAGCACCAGACGCTGAATGCAGACCCGGCCACCTCTCCTAAAACCGCTGTTCAAATCGCCGCGGGCTCGTGCTTGTGTGTGTAGCCATCTGTAGCCATCGCTGGACCGGCAATCGGATGTCTCTTCGCCCCTTTCTCTTTCGCTTAGAGTGATAGAACAAACGAGCTGCTGCTGGAGTGGGTGTGCAACACAACCAGTCAGTCAAGAAGTCAGTCTCAGTTTCAGTTCCGGATCAAAGTTCAGTTCAGTTCGCCATTCAGTCAGCACGATGGCTGCGCCATTCACACGACTCGCTCGCCGCGCAATCGAGACCGCCTGGAGAGATCATGCATGCCGAAGACTTGCCACTGGACCGCCGAAGAGCGACCGACCGGTGATCCTGCGACCAGACGACGCGCGGCCAGCCGCCGCAGTCCCTCGCTCAGTGAGCTCACTGACGGAGCCACCGCGACAGCCGCCACCCTCGTCGCCGTCTATCAACGACATTGGCCACCAACTGAAGCGCAGGATCCAGGCAAGACAATGAATGAAACTGCCGCCAAACCGGAAACGGTTGCTGACGACTCCAACAACCTCACTGTGTTTTCTGTGTTCGACTCGAACAGCTCGTGGGCAAGGTCTCGACCGCCGAGTTTATGCGCACGGTGCTCACCGCGCCATCTGGTGGCTATTACATGCGCACGGACGTGTTTGGAGCCGGTGGCGACTTTACAACGTCACCAGAAATCAGCCCGTTGTTTGGCGAGGTAACATGTGCGATCACCAATCGTATCGGAGCGTACCATCCGAGCCCGCCATTCGCCATGATCTCACTTGGTTTGGCGGTGCGTGCTTGACATGCATTGTGCGAACAGATGATTGGAGCTTGGCTGCTCAACCACTGGCAAGTGAGCAATTCTCCAAAGAAAGTAAACCTGATTGAATTTGGCCCGGGACGAGGCACTCTGATGCACGATGTGCTGCGGGTAAGGAAACCACTACTACTCCATCTGTCCGATCGTGTACCTTGAGCTGTATCAATCGTCACTCATGCGTCGGGGCCTGTCGAGAAGATTTTTGCACGATTCAAAGCGGTCGACGCTGTGCATGTCCATTTCGTCGAAAAGAGCCCGGCGCTACTTCGCGTGCAAGCCGAGATGCTTGGCGTGCCACTCGGCGCTGACTTGGTGCAGACCGAGCCCGTGCATGGAAAGTCGGAGCGCTTTGGCATTCAAGTGACTTGGCACCAATCCGTCGACACCGTGCCGGACGACGACTTTTCCCTGATCTTGGCGCACGAATTCTTTGACGCTCTCCCAGCACTTTCATTCACGCGGACAGAGCGCGGATGGCGAGAGGTGCTCGTGGATTTAGACGAGAAGGGGTAAGTGCTCGTCTGGGTCATCCTTGTTGCAACGAGAACGCGACCGCTCACACTGCACCTTTTGGCCACTCCAGGCCGTACCCATTCCGATTGGTGACTGCGAACGCACATACCGTCGCCTCGCGTTCCTTGTTGGTGGACCCGAACGAGGCAGGGTCTTCTTCAAACCTCGGTCGAGTCTCGCCGCCAGCCCATGTCCGCTCGCTCACTTTGAGCCCTGACAGTTTCATTCTCACTGAAAACCTGTCCAAGCGTATCATCAATCGCGGCGGCGCCGCTCTCATAATCGACTACGGGTATGCGACCCCTGCTCCGAAAGAAATGACACTCCGTGTAAGTGAAAAGGTTGGGGGAGGGGGTGTGTTTGACTTCTTGGCAACTGACTTTTGCGAGTTTGTGTGTTACTCCCACTCCCCAATCCAACAAACCTCCTCGCAACCCTTGAACCTAGGCCTTCCGAGGACACAAAGAAGTGCACCTCTTCGACAAAATCGGCATGTCTGATCTGACTGTCGATGTCGACTTTGAGTATCTCGCAGCTGCTGCTCAGGCACACGGAGGTGTGTGAAACCACAGCTTTTGAGTCTCCCAACTTTTAGGGGCTGTGTCCATTATGATTCTTATCCTTGCCCCCCCCCCTTTTTTTTTTTTTTTTTTTTTTTTGGCTGTTGAATGTCAGCGTACTGCACGGCAGCCACGCCGCAGGGCGAGTTCCTGGAGGCCCTTGGGATAGGACAACGACTCGCTCGGTTGCTCGGTGATCCGCGGCAGGCAGAGCACCACCAGACGCTGAAATCCGGCGTAGAGCGACTCACCAGCCCAACGGACATGGGCCAGCGCTTCAAGGCCATGGCCATTGTGCCCCAGAATCAGTATCCTGATAATCTAGTTCCAGGCTTGAGACCGCGCGCATCTCCACCATCAACCGCATCAGCCTGACACAACCGTCAAGCGGCTGAAAGCGAATTCTCTCATAAAAATCTTGCAATCACGGTACGAAATCATCATGAGTCTCTAAATAAAACTATGCTGGGGAACGTTTACACACTAGATGGCAAACACACGCACAAACCAAGAGCGACAGCCACGCGTCAAAGACTGCCAGTTTTGGTGGGGACCGTTACTTGCCAGTCGCAAGAAGGGCAACGATGCCAGAGGCAACAACAGTCGAGCCGACATAAGCGCTGTCAGTAGCAAAGCAAAGATTCACATACACAGAGATGAAAGTTAGAGGCACATTCCAACCGACATTCAACAAACGAAAAAAGCAACAAAAAACGACACAAAACAACACAAAAACAAAACAAAAACAACGTACTTTTGCGGCTCCCAGTTCTTGAACAGGTAGAAGGCAAAGACAATCTGAATGGCAACGAACAGGGCGTTGTTGTAGAAGAGCGACAGGGCGACAGATTCAAAGGCGGCAATCTCGTTAGCCTTCTTGACGGCCTGCTTATCAAAGTCGGGGCTGCGGGTCTTGGAGCCAGAGCGCATGCTCTCTTCGACGGCGGACAGACGGACCTTGTAAATCCTGACGAGAGCGACAAAGAGAGAGAGAGCGATCGAGAGTTGGTGAGCGACCAAAAACAAACAGAAAAAAAAAATCTCAAGCAAGCAATGACTGATCTGCCTGAGATGGGCTGACTCGAATCCAGACAACATACTTGCGCTTCTGGACGCTGGCAACGTTGTGGTAGGCAAAGAAGAGGGTGGCGATGGTGAGGATGACGGCGATTCCGTGCGAGATCAGGTTGTCGCTCAGCTTGATGTGCTGGATGGAGTGGAAGGCATCTGGAGTGTTGCAAGATCAACGACGAGCCACAATTGAGCGAAATGAGCGCAAACCACAAAAGGAGGCCATGGAGGCGAGTCGGAGGGTGATTTTTTCGCAATTGAGGACTTGGTCGAGCTGGCGATGACTGTGCAAAGCGCGACCATTGTGATCCTGGAGCTTGATCGGGTTTTTGCTGCGACATTTTGCAAAGACCGGCAGCAAGAAGCACGCAATCGCAGCAGCATAGCAATGGGGGCACTCCCGCCGTCTCATGAGGAGTGACAAGCATCGACTCCCGCCCTTGAAGGATCACGAGAGCTGTATGACTGGGATTTGCGTTGGAGAATTATTGAAAAAAAAAAAAAAGACAAAAAAAAAAAAAAAAAAGAGAGAGATCTTGTCCTGTTGCTCAACTCGCGACACAATCGCCAACACCACCACGCTTCGCCCCCGGCCAAGCGTGTCAATGTTGCAGAAAGTAACACTCGATACGTGCAACGCACACGAGCAAGACACAAAGGAAACCCCCAAGAGAAGACGGAAAAAAAGAAGAGGAAAAAAAAAAAAAAAAGAGAGATCGTTGGATTCATGCCCTCCTCCTGCTCCTGCTGCGGCGGCGGCGCGATCGTTCGTTCCACGGAAGCTACTGCCACCCAAGGAATCAAAAGTACCGCCAAAACGCTTCCTGCGCGAGGAGAATGAAGCTCGCTCGCAAAACAGCAATCCGCTTTCACTTTCGAAACTCTGGCACAACTTCAATGCAACCGCCATCCCCCCCCCCTAAAACGGCTTTCTTTCGTACAAGCTGGGAGAGCAGCAATCAGAGCGCCGTTGACGAGGTAGCAGATCTTCTGGCCGAGAGTGAGTTTGCTGGCTTGCATGGAATGCTCGTCCAACAGCTTGTGTTCCGCCTGCGATGCCTTGCCCATGGTTGTTGGATTTTAGTGCTGGAAAAACAACGACTGGGAAGAATTGAGCATTCCATCCGTGTGTTCGGATTGGCAAAACACAGAGCACAGAGCTAGAATGCACTTATGCACCTTCAAGTAATTGTCAGCAAAGAGTAGGAAGGATGGGTGTGTGTGTGTGGAAATGTAGTGAAGATTTAGTTTTTCAAAAAAGTACATGATTTCGATTGCCAAAATACAAAATCCAACATGGTGAAATCGCGTGTTTTAACAACAGAATGAAAGGGGATAATCCGAAAAGAAACCGAAAAAACAAAAGGACAAGCAGCACCAGGCGAGAGACAGACATGGAGAAATCGGACAAAGAACAGATGAATTTGTTGTTTCTTGCTTTTTAGTACTCGGACTGCACAAAGTCCATAAAGTCATGCTTGTTCTGGACGGGCGAGCGAGTGGGTCGGCCGAGGTCCTTGCGGCCGCCTCGGTTGACGCAAATCTCCAAAAGCGCGGGCCCTTGGGCTTCGTGGAGCAGCTTGAGCTTGGCGCGAATGTCGTCAATTTCGGAGGCGGTCTCGACGAATCGGTAGCCGCTGGATTGGGCCACGCCGGTGATACTGAGACTGCCGTTGAGTGCGCAGGTAGGCTGGCCACCAACCGAGTCGTGTGCGCCGTTGTTAATGACAATGTGCTTGAGGTTTTTGACGCCAGAGTGGCCAATGGTGGCCATGGTGCCCATGTGCATGAGCAAGGCACCATCGCCGTCGAGGCAGTACACTTGCCGAACAGGTCGGGCAAGGGCAATGCCCAATGCGATGGCGCTAGCATGGCCCATCGAGCCCACGGTCAAAAAGTCCTTCTCGTGGCCGTGCTTTTTGGCAACGCGGTACTCGAAGAGCTCACGCGAGAGCATACCAGTCGTGCCAACAACAATGTCGCGGGCCGAGAGCGTGTCAACAATAAGCTTGAGCGCGCCTTCGCGGTTGAGCGGGAAGCTGCCCTTGTCTGATTTGAGCTTGTACGGCAAAAAGGTCTGGCGACGAACAAGAATGGCGTACGGGCCGTGGTTTTGCTCCATGTACTGGCGCGCAGTCTCCAGCACCTTGGCCGCGCCCTCCTGGAAGTCGGGCAGCACCTGGAACGGAATGTTGAGCGATGCAAGGAGGCCAGGGGTGGCTTGGCCCTGCACCAAGTGCTGCGGCTCATCCTTCTTGCCGGGCTCGCCGCGCCAGCCAATCAGCAGCAGCATAGGGATGCTATACACCTCCGGCACAGCCAGTGACATGAGCGGGTTGACAATGTTTCCCAGGCCCGAGTTCTGTTTCAAAAAAAGAGGAGGCACCAGTGAGAATTCACAAAGTGTGTTGTACGATGAGAAGCATGCGCTTGGTGGTGGTGGTGGTGATGATGATGATGATCATCCAGGAGTCTGAATCCCGATCGCGGATCCAAAAAGTCACAGTTTGAAACAACGAACTGTGATGGCTTTTTGTGTTTTAAAAGTTGTTTTTGATTTTTTTAAGGTTTTTTTTTTCTTTTGCCGGGCGTGGGGTTTACGTTTGGGTCTTTCAACCGTTTGTCTCGAACGATTGGCGTTTCCTCCTCCTCCTCCTCTTGCTCGCCATCCACACACAACGACACGCCTTCCGCATCGAATATCGAATGGCAACGGCAGCTCCCCTCTCAACTCACATTCAAACTGTGATGTATTTTTTTTTTTTTTTTTTTTTTTTTGCCACGCTGTTTTTTGTTTCTACCACCGTTTTTTTTTTTTTTTGTTTTTTTTCTCGCCACGTTGCAACTCCCAATGAGCGTCCGTGGGGTGCTGCGTCCACAAGGCGGCTCGATCCCTGTCGAGCATTGCTTCGGACAGCAACCACAACGGGTTTTCGCATGCTGTCAATTAGCTGTGGCTGTTTTTGGGCGTTGCTTTGTTGTGTTTCGCCCACTTTGCAAAGTTCAAGCTCATATGAACAAAACGCAGTTCAGGGAAAAACAACACAAAACAGAAAAAAAAAAAAAAAAAAAAAAAAGGATTTGGTTCCGTCGAAGCCCATCTCAGTTTTGCGCTTTGGGCGAAATCGCTGCATCGAACTCGTCCCGGAAAGCTCGAAACGCCATTCCACCAACAGTCTCTACAGGGCGGCATTTGCACGCGCGCGCTCTCTCGCACAGCTCAGGTGGGACACGAAGCACTCCAAGAAAACAACAAAAACAGGAAAAAAAGAAAAAAAAAAACCGCGCTCCATCACCACAGTGTCGGGTTCTCACCTGGAGATAGACGAGGCCGCTCTTGCCGGTGGCGAGATGGTGGCCTGCGGCGAGCGCGACAGCATTGCCCTCGTTGGCCGTGATGACGTGGTGGTCGCTGGGCGTGTTGGCCGTCACGTAGGCGCAAAAGTCCTTGAGGAGCGAGTCTGGAACGCCCGTGAAAAAGTCCACTCCAATCTTGTTGACCTGCTTGTAAAAGTCGCCAGGGTCGAGGAAGTCGCGCACCAGCTCCGTGAACGGCTGCTTCTCCTTCTCCTCCTCGGCGTTCGGCTCGACCGCAGACATGCTCGTCTTGGCAGAGGTCTGCACGCCGCGCGACGACGTGGCGGCCGGCAGCAGAGGCGCAGAACCACGGCCGCTCTGTGCGGTTTGCGCGGTCAGCGCGCTGCTGCTCGTTGTTGCTGCAGCCACGGCAGCCGTCGTGACGGATCGGCGGCCAGCGCCAACCATAGCAGCAGAAGCAGCAGATGCAACAGAGGCCGAAGCAGCGCGCGAGGCAAGCAAAAGACGCGCCGTAGTGGAAGTCAGCATTGATCAAAGTGTGTGGGGTTGGGGTTTCCAATCAGAAAACGAAAAAACGAAAACAATACAAAAAAAGGAGTGGTTTTTTTTTTTTGTTTTTTTTTTTGTGTTCTTTTGGGTGTTTTTGTTTGGTCAATTGGAGCGTGGGCAGTGCGCCACGGTGGCAATTATTGCAACTAGCAATAAAACACAGCACAACACAAACCCTCCTCCCTTAAAAAACAAACAAACTCTCAGGGACATGAAAATTCTTGTCATTCAACAATACCATTCAAAACAAAATGCTTGTATTGGATGTTTTTCGTTCGTTTGTTTTCTTCTTTACAAGTCGGGCGTCAGCAGCCGTGATCGATCTTGCGAATCACCGTTGAGCGGGTATGGCGAATACATGTAGCTGGCAGGGTCCTCGCGGTTGTGGCGGTACAGGCAGTAATGCTGGATGATGAACAAGACGTCAAACACCACGGAGAACAGACCGAGGCCGAACTTGGTTGGATCGCCGAAAATGCTGCTCCAGTCGTCTGCAGTGTCAAGGTTGTTTGTAAACAAGGCAGTGAGTGAGTGGAGGTGGCTGCATGACGACCGTGAGATGAAATTCACGAGCAAAAATCACATCGTGGTCATACCGCTGTTGTACGCCAGGAGGAACATTTGTAGAATACTCAGGGCGCCACCAGTGAAATCCAGCAAGACGTTGCCAATGCTCCAGCCGACGGTGCTCTTGCGACGGAAGTTCATAAACGCCTGAACAAGTACAAACGATAAATTTGTCAGCCTCTCTTTCAGGACGACTACTCATGGCAACTAGCAACAGCAGCAGCAGCAGCAGCAGCAGCAGCAGCAGCAGCAGCAGCAGCAGCAGCAGCAGCATACCTGAGGAACGTATTTGATCAAAGTGATGCCAAGCTTAATGTAGGAAAAGTAGTAGAGGTACGTCAGCCACGAAATGATGCCCTTGAAGGCAATCCAGAACGAGATAAAGGCGAAAAGCCAGGCGCCAATCAGAATGATGCGTGAAATCCACGAGACGCGTTGCTCGCCACGCTGTGTTTCGCGCGAGCAGAAGGCAAAAAGTGAGCACAAGGAGAAAAATCTGCGCAGCTCTGCAAAGTATTCCGTCCCCGTCCTCCAAATCGCACAGCATCAAAGCAATTCCACGTACATCGTAGATGAAGCATTGCACGATCGTCACCAGGGTCAGAACAACGGCATGGATGGCGAAAAACACGTCATTCGCCTGAACCGGGTTGACGCCGTCCGGGTGGTCGGCGAAATACAAGTCCTGGATGGAAGTCACCCAGAAGAGACCAATGTTGAACGCCGAGTAGCACAGAAACCCGGTGATGTTGTATGCGAGAAAGTCAAAGTTCAATCCGACCACGGACTTTCGACGGAAATTCTCGTAGACTTGCGGGTAGAACGAGATAGACCAAGCGACAAAGTAAATCCAGCCAATCACGGTAATGACAATGCTCAGCGGCTTGTTCTTGACAATCGAGATGCCCAGCGAGAGATCGCCGCGGAAGGCAGGGTCGGCGCCGCCCATCGTGAATTTGAGGTCGGGGTTGCCCGCGCCCAGTGCAGAGGCGTATGCAATCACCTGCGCGGTCGAGTTTGCCGGCAGCGTCACTGTGAGTGTCTGGATGTTGACAATGGCCTCGTTGGAGCTTCGCAGCAAGACTGTCACGTCGCTGAGCGGGCGCTGGCTTGGCCGGATGGCAATCTGGAAGGTATCGCCCGAGAGCACTGGGTCTGGCACGTCAATGTCGAGTGTCGCGCCTGCCAGTCAAAAAAGAGTTCAAGGATTTTCCGCAAAGAGCCCAACACATTGCCATGCACGGGGATGAGTCAGAAGGTCGGCGCAACGGTTCATACAACGGTCATACAACACACTTCGCTTCGACCCATTCCCATCATGTGACGGGCTGCGATCGACGGCCGAGCGCTGCATTGCGACGCCACCGCCGCACAGTTGAAGTACAAGGTCTCACAATACAGCAGCGTGGCTGAGTTGAGACCCGCGCGCTTCAGTCAGATCGACATCGCCCGACTGCTGCCGATTAGCGAGCATTTGACACGGCGAGCTCACTGAGGGTTTGTTTTCTCTTTTTTATTGGCTGTCCCATCCTCGATTTGCCTTGGTGCCTCAGCAAAGCAAGGTCAAATTGCGTGCGGTAGGGGATTGCTGGATTTGAGGCGGGGACACGATGGCGTTACCTCGGACGGACGACGCGAGACAGGCGACAAGCATCATCGCAGCAACCAGCGATTTGCCAACCATTCTCGTCGGGAAAAAAAAAAAAAAAAAATGAAAGAAATGAATGAGTTGATGTCGATGGTACGCGTTGACAAATAGTGCTACATTGAACGGAAAGGGGGGGGGGGAAAGCGAATTCGTTGAGCAAAACAATGTACAGGCGGAAGACAAACTAAGCGAGAGAATCAGGGTGGCCAGAAGTAAACTGCTGAGAAAAAAAATACGACAACAACAACCGATGCAAGATCAGTCCGAGCGATCAGAGAGGGTTTGAATCGTCGGGCCGCTTAACGGTGGTTGCACAAGCGAGAGAGCGTAGGAGGACAGCGAGCCCAGCAGAGCACGCGACAAATCGTACGTCCATCGGAACGGCGGAATGTTCTTGAGCAGCTCGACCACGCTCCAAGCATCAACATGCCGGCGAATTCGACCCATGTACTAAACCGGTGCAGCACAGTGAGTAAAGCACGAAAGCATGGCAGGAGAGTGAGTCAGAGGAAACTGTCAACCATTCTTCTTCTTGATGGCCACGTACATCGAGCTCAAAGGTCGAGAATTGCTTCAGGGTGATGGCTGTCCACGAGAATCGCAAAATCTGATACTCCTACCATTGTCAAGTCGGAGCATGCCGAGATTTCTCATGCAAGTCAGAAAACGCGAAACCAAGACCAAATTCCAACCACAGACACACAGACACACTGACACACACACACACTCTCTCTCTCTCTCTCTCTGACTCACTAGATCAGTCTGAATCATCAGCTTGGACGGAGTCTCGAGCAGTACTTCATAGCGAAGGACACGCGCACCAGCAAACATTTGGCGCAACGAGAGGAACTGCGAGCGAATCGACTCGCGCCCGCAGACCATGACCAGGGGATCCTCAAAGATCGCGTCCGGGGCATACAGATGCAGGAAGATGGCGTCAATTTCTGCCACGGGCGTGCTTGTCGCATACAGGCTCAACACTGGCTTTTCCAGCAACGCGACCGCCGTAGCCGGGTTTGACGATGATCCTCCTGCGGCATGTGGCGGCATGCTTGTTGTGTCTTGGATTGTTGACGGAATTCTTGAGAGTTGAGGTCTTGGTTTATTTTGTCGTTGGTTTGTCTTGAAATAAATCTGCAAACGAAAAAAAAAAAAATCTGGGAGAGAAGAACGACAATTGCGAATGAGTGAAATTGTGCGCCGCGAGGACACGAGCCAAATGGCTTCCACAACGGCAACGGGTGGAGCAAAGTGACAGCAACGAGAAGCGAAGGCGCGGAATCGAAGGTGGAGAGGCAGACACGCAGGTGGGAAGAGGGAAGGGAGGGAAGGAGGGAGGGAGGTAGGGCAGCTGTCGGAGTTGGCACGTTGGTTTCAGACACGCTGAATGCGGGGAGAACGAAGAGAGAGGGAGAGAACAGAGAGGGGAGTGGAATGGAAGATTGCTGAACACGGAAGCGCAGTAATCAAACAACGGGGAACGGAGGCGGCAGAGGGAAGGTGAAAGCGGAACGGAGCAGGAGGGGCGGAGGGACAAACACATTGGGGAAGAAAAAACAAAAAAATCTGCGACAATGGCGTGATGATGACGATCCATGCAGTAGCAAAAACTGACAACAAAAGACTGCAGGGTTCATGTCTCCGTCGATATAGAATAGATAGTGTGCTGCGACTTGCCAATGGTCGGGTCAGGGTGCAATCTTTGACACAAGAACGGAGTGGCGGAAAAAAATATTATGCTGTGTTTTGTTTACAACTTCAACAAACGCGGTTGCGAAAAGACGCATCGAGGCCATGTAAAATAATAAACCATTCGACAGAGTCGTTTCATTTGCGCAATGGGGAGGAAATCGCCGGGGGGAAGGGGAAGGGACTGTTGGATTTCGGACAGAAAGCACAGGAATCTTAAAGGTTGCTCTTCTTGGATTGGGCAAAGATCGCGAGAGCGATGGCGGCAACAACGGCGACAGCCTCAAGAGGGACAAACAGACCATCCTTGGAGGCACCCTGTGACCATGAACGAGAAGCATAAAGAATCACACAAACCAACAACAAATGAGCAAAACACATAAAAAAAAAAAGCCAAACATTTCCAACCCTACGGACAAGCACAGCGGTCGTTCCCCCATTCAAACACCATGCGTACCGAGTGGTGGACCTTGACGGAGAAATCAGCAGCGGGGACGGCCTCGTTGGCGCGGACAGCACGGGAGTAGGCGCTGAAGCTTTCCGAGTCGTAGAGCTGGACAGTGTAGGTCTTGGCGGACACCTGGTCGTGCTCGCGGACCCAGCTGACCTGCGATTCATGAATCACAAAAGCAAGAGCAATGCTCAAGAGTCAGACACCCGGTTGGCTTTTGGCGCAAGGATTCTCCCACAACATGACGCAAGACAATTTGCGTTACCTGGTAAGTCGAGTCTTCTTGGTTGTCGCCAGTCACAGCAACGGGGAGAACCTCACCATCGACGACGGCATGCAGGTTGGCACGCTGGACAAGCAGCAAGCAAGCAGCAAAGAAAAAGAAAAAGAAAAAGGGCAAACAAACAAAAAAAGTCAACAACCGTTGCAGCAAAGACACGCCGCGGGGCTCGCTCTCACTGCACTCTAAAAGCATGCACATAGCACCGTTGTCGAGGCTTGCGTGCGGGCATGGAGGAATCGAGCAGCCTTACATCAACAAACTCATCGTTGCACTTGATTTGGAACTGGGAGATGAAAACGGCCTTGGTGGAGGTGGCGAGCTGGGTGGTCGTGTAGGACACATCAGTCACAACGGGCTTGTCGCACAGCTCGGATGCTGTGCACGTCGATGCATCATCACAGAGAGAGGTGAGTGCAGACAAGATCGGATCAATCGCGTAGACGGAATGATTTCTCGCCAGCCACATTTCCCCTCCCCGAGCTTTGGCCAAGGTGGGACAAATAAGGGGCGCCCTTCTTCAACAAACGGAGCACCCCGTCGACTCGGATCGCATGCAGGTCGATGGAGAAACGCGCAAATCCAGCGAGATCACCAATTTTTTTTTATTTTTTTTTTTTTGGCCAGGCCGGCCTGTTTCAATGTAGCGCAGAAGACCCCTCCCCTCTCCCTAAACGACATAGCATTCTTAAACAATCCGTTGTTGCTGTCTTTACCCGAGGCAAGCGCGAGGAAGGCGGCGAAGCAGACAAAGGTCAGGACGGACTTGATCATTGCGAGGAATTAGGCGATCTCTGCGTTGGCAATGACGAGGCAGTCAAAGTCAGTCGATTCAGCCCGGGATTCAACGCAGCGATGGACAGCGTTCCCATCGACAACGAGCAAGTTGATCAATGGCACACGCAAGAGCCACAATCCACCATCGCGAAGGGCACAGCCATCACATGAAGCAGCAAAAGATGGTTCAACTCACACGAAACAGGACTGCCGTCTGGATCCTTTCCCTTTGGCTCGAGTTGGCTTGTTTGTGGAGTTGTTTGTGACGATGATGATGAAATCAACAAGTACACTTGCTACTACAGGCTTGAACTGTCATCTTTGGTCGATATTCCATTCAATAGATCCCAAATCCAAATCCAAATCCATTTTCTTCCTATTCATTTTTTTTTTTTCTGCTTGTTACAATGTCTGCCATTGCTGCCCTTTCCCGCCTGTCTGCCCGATCGTCGCTCACCTCCCAGGTCATGCGCGGCGGCCACTCGCACAGCAACTACCAGGCTCCCGGCTCTGTATGTCTTCCTCCTCTCTCTTTGCCCCCTCCCTCCACTCTCCTGCGCCGTGCCAGAGCCGCTTCATCGAGAGCGAACGAGCGTGTGGTTTCTTTTTTTTTTTTTCTGCTTTTTTTTTTCTTCTTCTGCCTTCTGCATCGCTGCGTCGCTTGTGCCTTCCTCCCGCACTCCCTGTCGCATTCAGTCGCATGACATCACCGCGGCTGCTTTTCGCTTCCCCAGCAGTCACGTCGGCAGTGCAGATGGTGAAAGAACAAGAAGGCACTGCGATCTTTTAGAGCCTTTTTTTTTTGTTTTTTTGCGATTCTCGCTCTTCCCTTTTCTGCCTCCTGGCTCTCCAACGGGGCTGCCCATCCCCCCTGAATGCTCTGTGATTGTGTTTACCATCCACGAGTACGCTCGATCGGCAGGCAATTTGCCTTGCTGCACAACTTTCACACCTCGGTCTCTTGCGCTCTTGCCACCATCATCATTGCTCACTCAAACACGATCCCCCCCCCCCTACTTGATCATCATCATCACTCTCGATGCAACAGAACCTGCCTTTCCAGGTCGTCGGCAAGTCGGCCCTCAGCCTCCACGTCAAGGTCTGGGCGTTCATGATCACTGGCTTCTCGCTGCCGTTTGTTGCCGTCAAGTTCCAGGCTTGGAAGAAGGGCTAAACAAAAAACCCACACTGCCAATCCATCACTATCAACGTGTGGCGTTTGCGATTCGAGAGGACTCTCGGATTGTCGTGCGATCGGTGGTTTTGATGGGCGTTGTGTAGCGTTGCTTTGTTTTGTTTTGTGAATCGTTTGCTGCAGCTTTCTTCTCGTGTGCGCTTTCGCATCAACGGGAATCGAGGCACAGCAGTTGTGTATTTTCTTTCCCCCCCCCCCCTTCTCCCCTTTCGTTTGTTTTGTCGACCGCTCAGGCAATACAAAAGAAAAAAACAACCCGAATCACAATCAATCAATTTTCATTTTGTTCGAGAGCTCTCCCTCCCTCGTGAGTTCTGAAAGGGCATCCTGGCCCGTCATTCAAATCAATAAGCATCATCACTAATCAGTCATCATCACTCGAGTTGACAGAATCAAAGTCCGAGTACGACTTTGACCGCAGTCGCGCCCCATCTGTCGCAGCCGCGTATGGGGTTGACAGAGAGGACTGCACCGGGCGAGGAGGCATTGCATTCTTGTGATTGTCATCGTCGTCCGAATTACTCGAGTCCGAGTACAAGTTTGACCGCTGTTGTGTCGTTCCCATCCGCTGTTGGGACAGAGGGCGATGGACTGGGCCAGGAGGCATTGCATTCGTATTCTCGTCATCATCGCTCGCATCACGAGAGTTGACGGAATCAAAGTCCGAGTACGAGTTGACGGAATCAAAGTCCGAGTACGAGTTGGACCGCTGCCGTGTCGTTCCGATACGCTGTTTTGACAGATGGGACTGCACAGTGGACCAGACAGGGCATTGTCAAACACAAAAATCGAAACAAACATGCACACGATGAGCGGACAAGTAGAATGGCACCCAACAGCAGTTTTGAACAGCAGTTTCGAACAACGTAAACTGTACATTGTTTGCTCCAAACAGCATCATGAGCCGATTTGGTTTGGTCTCGGACGATTTAGCAGGCGCATTCGGGCCACCACCCAATGACTGGTGTTGCACCGGTATTGCTGGATTCAGGCCAACTTGCCGGAGCATCTCGTGGCTTTGCTGCAAGAGCTGTTTTGACTCGTCCAGCATTCGCGCATCCGCCGTGACGGCTTTTGCGCCGGCGTGGTGCCCTGACCTCGACTGTGCTAATGGCGGATGATTTGTTTGTGTGGTCGCGGCATCTTTAGTCTTGTGCTGGAGCAAGGACTGGAGAAATTCTGCCGGCAAATAATCGCTCTCGTCCGACGAATCCGGGTTGGCGCCGGCCGCGTTGAGCCGCCGCTCCAGCCGCGCCTCCTCCATCGCCTGCTCCAAAATCGCATGAACGTCTTCCTTGGGATCTGGAACGTCACGGTACTGCCGGGGCTGCGCGCGCAAAGTCGGGAAAGAGGGCAAAAACTGATGAGTCGCTCTTCCGAAATAAGAAATCCAAACAAAAGCAGAAAGGTCAAAAGAAAAAAGAAAAAAGACACCAAAAAAGAAACACGAGATTCTAAGCTGGCAACGGACCTTGGTCGAGGAAGAATCGATGGGTGGGGATGGACGATGCGGTACGTCGGTTATCTGCAGGGCGCGAACGCGTTGGGCGAGCGTTTCGTCAGCGGACAGGTCGTTCAGCCGCACATCTTCTGCAAATCGCCGAAGGAGCTCGTCTGCCTGTTGTGCTTCCGTTCGCTGTTCAGGGCGGATGAACTGCAGGAAGGTACAAAGCAAAGGACGATACATTGCAACGGTACACACACAGTGAGTGTCCCCCCCCCCCCCGCGAGTGGAGCGCGACGGTGGTTGGCAACAAGACGTTTGTGCGAACATTTGAGCAAGCGGCGAAAAAAGAAAAAACGAAGAAAAAAATCCAAACCACATGCGCCACACCCGAGACGGCGGGAGCAACCGCGGGTCTTACCAGTGGGGCTGGCGTGGGGTTTGTTCGCAAGTGGTCCATGTTGCGGCCTGCAAGCGCGGCGATGCGATCGGCGAGGGCGTCTTCCGTGGCAGGCTGTGAAGCGGCATTCGCACGGGAAGCGCGCAGTTGCGCTCTCCGCTCGTAGATTTTCGCTGGAGGCTGTTCAACCCGCTGCTCCATGCTGCAGCGCCGCACACAAACGAACCCGTGTCCCTGTGAGAACTAAGCCGTTCATATTGTGTGCACTGGGGCAATCGGCGTGCACCCTCCCCTCTTTGTCCACCCTCAACACAGCGTGGCTCACACGACCTTCCTCTTGTTCCATTTTGGACAAATCACAACAACCATTGCTAGTTTTCGCTACCGCCCCACTCCCCGCTGGCTTGCATCTCAACAAAGGTCAACACTTCGAGAAGAGGCTCATTCAGACGTACGTGGAAGGCGGGCGAGAGGTGAGCTGTTGGATGCGGCGTTCCAGGTCGGCGTCTCGCTGATGTTGCTGCTCTGCCATCTCCGCCCAGCTCAAGATGTAGCCAGGTGGTTTCTGATACTGCTGCGGGTGCTGCTGTTGCGGTGGTGGCTGCCCCTGCGGATGGTCAGTAGTGGAGGCCGGCGGAGCTGCCGGGTTGGCTGGCTTGTCGGGCTGTGACATGAACGGTCGCCAAGGCCAACCACAAATGACTGCCCAGCACAACAGCACAATGAACGATGGGGTTTTTTTGGAGGAGGATGAAAATTGGAAAAGTAGCCACCACGGTGGATGCCTCCAGCGGAAGGAATAGGCAAACGGATGCACGAATGTGACGAAACGACTGCGCTGCTTGTGGAATTGCAGCTAGTCAATGTGAAATACAACGGCGGGACAACCTCTGGTCAGTTGATCTTCACTGCTGATTGTGATTGAGCCCATCAATTATTCGGTTTTGCGGCAGAGCAAATATCACTTGCCGACACTTTCAATCTCAAAGGCCACAGGAGCTGTTCATTTCATGCAAAGGTTGGTCGCAAGCATCAGAATGAATAGTTGCTAGATTGGATAGGAGCCATAACAGGGAAAGCAACGTGGAACGACGCAAGACGAATTGCATGCGCCAAACCGACAAACTCAACCGAAGAACAAGTCAGTCGCGCGCCTCCCCCCCCAACAGCTGCTTTCTCGAAACATCGAGGCTTTACTCGCCCTTCTTGGCGTTGGCCCGCTTCAGTGCGCGAGAGCGGATGCTGAGGTGGTGGTTCATGAGCAGTTTGTCACTCATGTCTTCGGGCAGCAGGGAGATGGCCCAGCTCTGCAGAGCATGCGCCCAGTAGCCAAGGGTGCGAGAGTCGTGGCCAATGGTGGCAACGGCTTGACGAGCAAAGGCGGTGGGCGTTGGGATGGTGAGAGCGGCGCGAACCTTGCTCAACTTGGACACAACCAGAAGCGGGGTGACGGACTGGATGGAAATGCCCTTGCTCGAGTACTCGAGCTCGAGAGCCCGCGAAAAGTAATCAACGTAGCCCTTGGCAGCAGAGTACACGGTCAAGAGTGGCGTTGGGCGCATGCCCGAGTACGACGAAACGTTGACGATGGCACCACGCTTGCTGTAGTCGTGAAAGCGTGCGGCGCGAGTGAGTGCAACCGAACGAAAGATCGGAAACCAGAACAAAAAAAAGGGAAAGGGCAACAAACTCACCGCTCAACCATGCCGGGAAGAATCATTTGCGTGATGAGAGTGGTCGAAGTAATGTTGAGCTGAATCAGATCGAGCAGCTTGGCCTCGCTCAACTCGGTAAAGAACGCGGGGTGGTCGTAGCTGACGCCAACGTTGTTGACTAGCCCAATAAAACAAAGCAAACAAATCACCATTCTCAGCGTCAGATGTTGTTGGTACAAGCACAACGCAGCGTGGCCCAGACACTTTACCGAGGACGCCAACGTCGAGATTGGCAAGACGGGCACGAAGAGGGCCAGCGGTGGAGGCGTTGAGCTGGCTAAAGTCGAACGCGATCGTCTGAGTGTTGACCTTGTGCTTTGCCGCAATCTCGCCGGCGGTCTTGTCGAGCTTTGCCTGGGTGCGCGAGATCAGGACAATGTTGAGACCCTTGCGAGCGAGCTCGTGCGCGTATGCCTCGCCAATGCCGTCTGTAGCGCCCGTAACGACTGTTGCATTTGTACAAAATATTCAACCTGAGTCACAGAGTCGAAGCGCAGGAAACAAAGAACAAAAAAAAGCACGCGTCTCGCTTTTTTTTTTTTTTTTGTTTTTTTTTTTTTTTTTTTTTTTTTGTTGGGGCAGCAAATCGGAGTGCGTGGTGAATCGTCAGAGAGCGTCAGTCTGCACATTTTCAACGAGCGACTTGCTCGAGGGCGACCACGATGCTGCAGGGGTGCGGGGAAGCGGGGGGGCGGGGAAGGGGAGGAAGAGCAAGGCAGAAGGTGGGATTTTCGCATCGCTGCCCTCCCAACTGAGTGATCACGGTTACCTGCCCATTCGCCCAGTCGCTTGAGGTTCTTGCCAGGACGCAGGAAGAACGAAAAGATGCCACGGAGCGCACGGAGCACCGGGAGCAGTGCGGCGCGCGCGAGGACGAGCAGGCCGAGAACAGCGAGCAAGTTTTGCGCGATCGGCGTCTGGAACGAGCCAGGCAGCGCATCCCAAAGCCAGTCAAAGTCCAGCACTGCCATTTTGTTCAGAAGACAGAAATAAAGGAGTGCAGATGCTTAGAATTCGAAAGAGCTTGATGTGATGTCGTGGGAGATCTCTTTCGGGGGCCGGATTTTGAGTGTCCAGCGTTGCAATTGTTCGGTAAGCGCCGTTTCGTTTTTATGCAACATCTCCGAGAATAGCCCGCGGATCTCAAACTCGAAAAACCCAAGTAAGAAAGCTGACTCGGAGCTCATCTGAGTTTTGCGCTGACGACATGCGGTCACATGTGGAAAGGCGCGCGCGAGCGTTCAAGTTTGGTTGGTTTTTGGCAAATCGCGTGGATTTGGGTTTCGGTTTGGACCTTGAGCAGCGGCCAGGCCAACGCCATCTCATGATAAACTCGACCGTGACGAGTGTCCCATGATTTTGGTCTGGAATTGGCGACGGTGTGAGGTGCTGGTGTTCGTCGAAGCATCATTGAGAGTCGAAACAAACAAAACGTTCCAAATTGACCTCGGTTTGGTTTTTTTTTTTCACCTCCACCCCCCCCCGGCTTCGTTGTTCATCCGTTGTCTGACTTTTGATACGAGGTGATACTAGGTATTTGAGCAAGGGGGGAGGGCTTCAGAGCACTCGCCCTTGTGTCCGTTTCGTCCATTTTGTTTCTGATTGACATTTCGAGGTTGTCAGCCAGCCCGAAATAGCCTTTTTTTTCGTTTTTTATTTTATTTTATTTTATTATTATTATTATAAAAATCGCTTTTTGGAGAAAGCAGGAAAGCTTCACTCTTTTTTCGATTCTTTGTTCATAATCCCTCTAAAACATCATGCAAACAATCAAATGCGTTGTTGTGGGCGTAAGTTTTTTTTTTTCCTTCCCTCTTGCTCTCTCGTGCTTTCCTGCCTGCTTCCTGCTCCCTGCGCTTCCTCTCTCGCGGTGCTCTTGCATCACGCACTTCCCTTTGCTTCGGCGTGGTCTTTCTGGGGCTGCCCTCTGCGACCCTGGAAGCAGAAAGGAAAAAAAAAAAAAGGAAAAAAAAAAGAGCAAAAAGCTTTTTTTTTTTTCGATGCTGGCTTTTTGCTCAACCGGCGTCTGCAGGCCAGATCTTGCCCCTGCGGCCTGCTCCTGTGCGGGCGCGACTTGCACTCGTGCTACAGCTGACGCCTGTTGCGGAGATTCCCCGCGGATGAGCGCACACAACGCACACGGACTGACGCAAAAGCCCTCAAAAAGAAGAAAAAGTTAAAAAACAGAAATAGACCAAACTTTTTTTTCTTTTTCTTTCTCTGCTTCTTCTTCTTCCTCTTTCCTTTCCTTTGTTTGAATGGTTGGCCAACCCACCGTCGTCAGCGAGCACGTTGCCGGCCAGCTTCCCATGCATCCAAGCGTGAGATCGCGATGGTGCGCTCTCGTCCGTCGCGGCAGCCTGCCTGGCTGTCTTTTTGTTTTCCACAATTTGAAATTGAAATCGCTTTTTTTTTTTTCCTTCAAGTTTTTTTTTTTTTTTTTCGCTGGAAGTTATGCGTTTTCCATTGGTTTTTTTTTTTTTTTTTGGTTCTAACTTTTTTTTTTTTTTTGTCTTTTGCTCTGTCCGTTGTTTTTCGCCTCGCGTCCCTGTTTGTATTTACGTAGGATGGTGCCGTCGGCAAGACCTGCTTGTTGATCTCATACACCACTAACAAGTTCCCAAGCGAATACGTCCCCACCGTAAGTTCACATCCTGACTCTTGCCCTCTTTTTTTTTTTTTTTTTTTCCCTTCTATCCACAACACAACAATTTTTTTTTCGGTTCTTTTTTTTTTTTTTTCTTCCCTTCTCCTTCCCGTCTTTGCGTTGTTCTGGCCTTCCACGACGACGGCGTTCCACCCTTGCATTCCTCCTCTCCGTGTGTTGTCGGCCGTGCCATGGCTGCCTCTCGTGCGTCGTTCCAATCGTCCAAAAGAGAGGCGACAAAAAAAAAAAAAAAACTCTTGCGGCTTTTTTTTTCTATTTTATTATTTCAAAAAACACAACATTCTCTTGCCTTTTTTCCTTTGAGTGTTTTTTTTTTTTTTTTCTTCCTTCCTTTTGTCTCTTTTTTTGCCGTTTTGTCTTTTTGTTCGCTGCTGCCGCTGCAGAGCTCCTCTCCACACATCCCCGCCCGCGCACGCATCCTCACGAGCATTGCTTCATCTGCTCTCGGGCAAGAGACTGCTCAGCTGCTCTGCGCTCGTCTTCGCGGTTTCGTTTGTGGTATTTGAGCAAAAAAAAAAAAAAAAAAAAGCAGCATGCCGCCGTTCCCTCTTGTCGCCCGTTTTTATTTCCTCTCATTTTTTCCATCCGCGCTCTTTCATCCCGATCCTCCGCTTGGTCTTTCTTTATGCTTGTAGCTGTTCTTGTTGTTGTTGCTATTGGGCCGGTCCCCTCCTTCAACTCTTCCGGTTTTTGTCTACGTTCCAATACTCATTATTTTATGATTTTTTTTATTATTTTTTTTTTTTTTGCCTTCTAGGTCTTCGACAACTACGCAGTCACAGTCATGATTGGCGGCGAGCCCTACACGCTTGGCCTTTTCGACACAGCAGGTTTGTGTCCTTTCCCCCCCCCCCTTTTGAATTGTTTTGTTTGAATGCGCGGGGTCACTCACAACACTTTTTTTTTTTTTTTTTTTTTTTTTTTTGCTGCTTCTTCACCGCCAACAGGACAGGAAGATTACGATCGTCTCCGCCCTCTGTCGTACCCCCAGACTGACGTCTTCCTTGTGTGCTTCTCGGTTGTGTCCCCCGCATCGTTCGAGAACGTCCGAGAGAAGTGGGTTCCCGAGATCACCCACCACTGCCCAAAGACCCCCTTCCTGCTTGTCGGCACTCAAATGGATTTGCGCGACGACGCCACCACCACCGAGAAGCTCGCCAAGAACAAGCAGAAGGCAATCACTGTTGAGCAAGGCAACAAGACTGCCACCGACCTCAAGGCTGTCAAATACGTCGAGTGCTCTGCCCTCACACAAGCCGGTCTGAAGAACGTATTCGACGAGGCCATCCTCGCCGCCCTCGAGCCTCCGGAATCACCCAAGAAGCGCAAGTGCCTCATCCTCTAAAAACACCGAGTCGCGTGCATGCCCCCCCCCCTTCTCCTCAAGTCACTTTGTTTTTCCCCCTTTTCTTCTAAAACCCTTCCCCCCATCCACCACCCTCTTCTCTCTCTCTCTCCCCATTCGCGCCATGAGTGACCTTACGCTGGTCGACGTCTATTCAAGGCGTTTGTCCGTGAGTGCCTCTTCTTGTATCTCTTGTTTTTCTTGGTTTCGTGATTTCAGCCTCCATCTTCCTGCAGCAGGTTTTTGTGTGTGTATTTTTGTTGTTTTGTTGTATCCGATCGTCTTTGCACTATTGCGTTTGTCTGCAGTTTGTTGTTGTGCCTTTTGTGTTTCAAAAGCATGGCAAATCAAAAACAAAAAAAATATTGTTTTCTCTCCATTCTTTGCTTCCTCCATTGTCCGTTTTTTTTTTTTTTTTTTCTTTGGTCGGTGATGGGTTCCTGCGCCTCTGTCATCGCAAATGCTAAAGTTTCATTCTCGAGCACGAGCCGGCAACCATTCTTACATTGTCGAAGCAGTTTTGTGTGTCACCCAAACTTCAAACTTGGTGAACATTCACATTGCATGTCCTTCGGCGAGTCCCTCGTTGAGGTGCCCATGTCCAGCCACGAGCTCGCTATGCGGGAAGCATCGAGTCTGCAGCGGCAGCAGCAGGAGCAGCAGCTGGAGCAGCTGGAGCAGCAGCGACGCGGCTCGTTCGACCTCGCACTGCGGCAAAGAGCTGCGTTTCCCGCCACTGATGACGACGAGCCCGACGACGACCACGATGACGACCTCGCCCCACAAACCGGCGCGCTCCCACATGTGATCTTACTACCCAACCATGGCAGTGCCGAGGCTGCTCCGGCTGTGACCAATCGCCCGCTGGGATCGACTTCCGCAGTTCGCTTCGACTTGACCGAATTCGAGCCCAGCAGCTCACGACGACCTCCTCCTCACCAAGCACCGCCACCATCAGAGCCCCGCCCGTCAATCCTCAAGAAGGATTCAGTAGTAGCCGCGTACTTGGCGCCAGAGGCGGTTCCGAATGGCACGGGCGACCGCGCGCACGTTTACATGCAGATGCAACCCCTGTACGACTTTACAAGTGACTCAGACGAGCGGCGCGACGAGCTGATGCGAGCTGCCCCGTCGTTCCAGGATGCACGCAGACGCTCCATCCAGCCATCTCGGAAGCCAATGGGCCTCGGCTCGACCTCCTCGAACACTTCGCTTGGCGGAGCCTTGGGCAAAGTGTTCACCGGGTTGTCTCGAAGACGCCACTCCATCCAGCCAGGCTTCCCTGCTTCGTCGGGATTCGAGCCCAATGTGCTTGGCGGTTCAATAGCGAGCGGCATCAGCCGAAGCGAAACCAGGCAATTTACGCCTCCGCCGATCGTGGCGGCCGACAGCGATGGTCTGGAAGAGGACACGTCAATCTCCTTCTGGACAACGCTGCGATCCATGATGCCCACAATGCTGACCAGCGGTGAGCTGCCGCAAGTGTCCGACAAGGAGTTTTTTCTCAGCTACTCTCGAAAGGACAAGGTAATGGCTCGAGAATAACGCGCGTGGTGTGTGGCATGGACTCGGGGGGGGTTTTTTTTTTGTTTTTGTTTTTTAATTCACCCCGCACCTACACCCGCATACGCAGGCCACGGCTGCTCGTCTTGTTGATATGTTCACCGAAGCCAATGTTGATGTGTGGGTTGATTGGACGTCCATTCCCCCTTCAGGTAACCTCTACAGTTGTTGTTTGTTTGATGCACAAACGCGCCGCGATGAGCTAACCCTCTTGTTTGGCTCCCTCCTCTCAGCTGATTGGATGAGCGAGATTTGCAAAGGCATTGAAAATTCGAGCGCGTTCTTGTTTCTTCTATCGCCCAACAGCGTTTCTTCTCTGGTAGACCAATCCTGAGTCCCTCCTGTCTTGCCCATTCGATTCTCTTGGGTGCTCACTCCATCTTCTTCGTTCACAGGTGTGCAATCAGGAGCTCGACTATGCCATCCAGTGCGGAAAGCGAGTCATTCCCATAGTCATTGAGGATATTGACGCGAGTATCGTGGTGCGAACCGAAATTTCCAGCCGCAACTACATTTTTATGCGGCAGACCGACAACGGGGCTGAATCCTTCAAGACCATTATTCATGCCCTTTCGCAAAGTACGGTGTGCCGTTGCTCTTTATTTTTTAGTTTTTCTCTTCCCGTTCGTGCTTGGTTTCTGCTCGATTCTCACGCTTGCTTGGACGACGCATGGTCAGATCTCGATTATGTACACGAGCATACTAGGATCTTAAAATTAGCACACACTTGGAACGACAACCATCGGGTAAGAAGAGGATGACAACAAACAAACCTTTTTTTTTTTTTTTGGCAGATGCTTGAAAGTTCCAAGTAGCCATTGATCGATTGACGCTGTTTCTGTCATTGTTGACGGCTTTACAGAAACCCGATTTCCTGGTGTTTGGTCACGTCGCAAACGCAGCCCAGCAGTGGCTGACGGACTCTGTGGGGCAGTCGCCAGCGCCTTGTCCCCTCCAGGTCGAGTACATTCGAGCTTGCGTGCGCTTTGCAAAGCGGGTGCACCATCGCAAGCGCATGGTTGCGATTGCATTCATCCTCGTGTGCATTGCGGCCGTCATTGCCTCCACCATCCTTGCCATTCAAGCGAAAAGAAACTTGGAGGAGGCCGAGATTCAGCGCAAAACCTCCAAGCAGTTTACCGCCTTTGTCGTCGTGCAGCAAATAGCAACACTCTCACAGTCCTTCTTTCTCGAATTCACCAAGCGGTATCCAAAACCTTCCTGGCTCTGTTACACCAGAAAGTGCATCATGGGATCCATCATGAGTTTGGCACGAGTCGAGACGCTTGCCATCGTCTCTGATTTGATTCCCCGCTCGTCCTTCCGTCAGTCGGCATTCGCGGCACTTTTGCAAACCCGCTACACTGCACTTCGCAAGGATTTTGAGCTGTACAATGGCAACATTGATCCATTCAATACGACCGGTGCTGTTTGCGAATGGAGCATTTCTCTCTAGTAAGTCTTTCCGCGGTCGCGGTTGGCACTTTTGTCTGTCGTTTTTTCTGTCTTGCTGGTGTGGCTGGGGTTGCTTTTTACAGCACCGCATCGACTCAGCTCTTTTTGTTTTTCCCTGTTTTTGTTTTTGTTTGCGCTATTCGATTTTGCTTGCGTTGTCCCTTGCCAGTGGAATCGGCTTTTTGCAATACTGCGGCAGTGGTAGTATCGATATCGTTTCTCTGACACAACCACTTCATCCGTTTACCGAGTGGTACTCTTCCAAACCGAATCAGACGGTTTTGGCACAGGAGCCGTTTTCGTTGCCACCAGACCCAACGCACGCGCGCCGACTACGGTTACCTGACGGGTCTCTTCTCGTTGGTGCCAAGTGTTCCGACGTTTCCAGCGTCGGGCTGGCGACGCTCATCCAGCTGAACGCAACCCACATCGAGTACAATGTTTTTGGCCTGCTTCTTGGAAGTCACGAGGAAGAGCCTGGCCCCCAGAGTCTGCGCCTCCTGTCCTCTCGTATCTTTCCAGCGGTTTTTACCGACTCGTCGTGCCTTCTCAGCCCAACCACGGCGCACTTTGCCTTTTTCGCCATTCTGCCGTTTGATCCCGGCCATCCCCACCTGGTCTTGATTGACTCTGACGTTGACCGAGTTTTCGATTTTGGACGTGCCGACACTCTGAGCGTTGAAAACATTGGTTTCAACGACGACTCGACTCTGCTGGCGATGGCGGATCCCGAGGTGGTTGGTGACTTGCGGCTCACGCGCCTTCCCATGCCCGGCTCGGCCAACTTGACCCATGTTCCTCTGCAACTCCTCCCTGCGAATTATTCCGACCCCTACTATACGCCCGTCTATGCTGGCTCATGGGTCGAGCAAGACGGGGTCTTGCCAGTCATGCGCATCAACATTACTCTCCCAAGTACCAATCCTTCCAACTCGTTTGTTACTTTGTCGAAGGAAACTTCGCTATCCACTCTTCAGGTGCGCACTCCAACCCTTAATGTTTTTGCACATTCACCGCTTGTGCTCATGCTCAATTTGTTAGGTCTTTTGTTGCGTTTTCTCACCTTCCATGGATTCTGTTTGTTTTTCGGTGGTGGTGTTGTTGTTTTCCTATCATGCTCTGTTTTCTCCATCACCGCCACAGTTTTTCCCACAGTCGGATTGGCTGATTGTGGCAATGGCCTTCCCAAACAAGATTGTCGGGTACATTAACACGGCTTCTGCAACGTACAGCTCGGAGATGCTCAAACTCCCCTTCCATCTCGTCGCGGGCAGCGACATGCCAGGAGTCATTGTTTCCATCGACGTCGAGAGCAATCTCGCGAGCTTTGGCGACGATCAAGGATTTGCACGCAATCTCAAGTGCAACGTGCCTCCTCCAGGCAGCTCGACAGTGCCCCAGTGCGCGACGATTGGCCAGCTGTCCGTTGGCTCGGGTCCTGTCAAGCCAGGCTCCCTGATTCTCTACCAGGTCTCGGGGATTGCCATCGTGACTGCGGAGGTTCTCTCGTCAAACTGCTTGAGCGGTCTTGGAATTGCAGACTGCCATGGCCCAATCATTTCGTGGCCCGCGGACATGGGTCAACCCATCACTGTCTCCTCCTTCTTACTGACGTATGTGCTGTCGCTCGTCCGAATCGATGCATCAACAAGCAACCCGTACGCGCTTTGGCCAACAGGTCAGGACGAGATTGCTCCCACGCTTTTAGATATCAGCCTCCGTAACCCCAACTTTCAGCAATTTCTTGCTGATTCGTTGCTCTTGCCGTACGCGATTGTGCAGCAGTTTACGAATGATGATGAGTAGAAGTAGTGTGCTTGGTCTGGCATACGATGCTTTGTCTTCTCGTTCTCCACTTCCATCTCCATCTTCAGTTTTGTGTGTATGTATTTGGGTGGATGCTCGGCATGTCTTGGCCCTCCCCTTATCTAAGTTTATTACATGTACAACATTGTCCAAAGCTCCAATTGTTGTTGATCCTGGCTGTCTGCTTTGAGACTTTGCATCATTTCTTCCCATATGCAGCAAGTCACCTCATGATGATCTGTCACTTGTCCGATTTTCGTTTTCATCTGCACATTGTTGTTAGTCTTCA